CAACTCGTCGTGTTTGGAGGACAAAGAATGCTGAGTTGCATCCAAAGAACACCATACCTACTGTGAAGCATGGGGGTGGAAACATCATGCTTTGGGGCTGTTTTTCTGCAAAGGGACCAGGACGACTGATCCGTGTAAAGGAAAGAATGAATGGGGCCATGTATCGTGAGATTTTGAGTGAAAACCTCCTTCCATCAGCAAGGGCATTGAAGATGAAACGTGGCTGGGTCTTTCAGCATGACAATGATCCCAAACACACCGCCCGGGCAACGAAGGAGTGGCTTCGTAAGAAGCATTTCAAGGTCCTGGAGTGGCCTAGCCAGTCTCCAGATCTCAACCCCATAGAAAATCTTTGGAGGGAGTTGAAAGTCTGTGTTGCCCAGCGACAGCCCCAAAACATCACTGCTCTAGAGGAGATCTGCATGGAGGAATGGGCCAAAAATACCAGCAACAGTATGTGAAAACCTTGTGAAGACTTACAGAAAACGTTTGACCTGTGTCATTCAATCAATTTTCAATCAATTTTATTTTATATAGCCCTTCTTACATCAGCTAATATCTCGAAGTGCTGTACAGAAACCCAGCCTAAAACCCCAAACAGCTAGTAATGCAGGTGTAGAAGCACGGTGGCTAGGAAAAACTCCCTAGAAAGGCGAAAACCTAGGAAGAAACCTAGAGAGGAACCAGGCTATGAGGGGTGGCCAGTCCTCTTCTGGCTGTGCCGGGTGGAGATTATAACAGAACCATGCCAAGATGTTCAAAAATGTTCATAAGTGACAAGCATGGTCAAATAATAATCAGGAATATATCTCAGTTGGCTTTTCATAGCCGATCATTAAGAGTTGAAAACAGCAGGTCTGGGACAGGTAGGGGTTCCATAACCGCAGGCAGAACAGTTGAAACTGGAATAGCAGCAAGGCCAGGCGGACTGGGGACAGCAAGGAGTCACCACGGCCGGTAGTCCCGACGTATGGTCCTAGGGCTCAGGTCTCTCAGTTGGCTTTTCATAGCCGATCATTAAGAGTTGAAAACAGCAGGTCTGGGACAGGTAGGGGTTTCGTAGCCGCAGGCAGAACAGTTGAAACTGGAATAGCAGCAAGGCCAGGCGGACTGGGGACAGCAAGGTGTCATCATGCCCGGTAGTCCTGACGTATGGTCCTAGGGCTCAGGTTCTCAGAGAGAAAGAGAGAACGAGAGAATTAGAGAGAGCATACTTAAATTCACACAGGACACTGGATAAGACAGGAGAAGTACTCCAGGTATAACCAACTAACCCCAGCCCCCCGACACATAAACTACTGCAGCATAAATACTGGAGGCTGAGACAGGAGCGGTCCGGAGACACTGTGGCCCCATCCGAAGATGGCAACAAAGGGTATATAACAAAGTATTGAGAAACTTTTGTTATTGACCAAATACTTATTTTCCACCATAGTTTGCAAATAAATTCATTAAAAATCCTACAATGTGATTTTCTGGGGAAAAAAATCTCATTTTGTCTGTCATAGTTGACGTGTACCTATGATGAAAATTACAGGCCTCTCTCATCTTTTTAAGTGGGAGAACTTGCACAATTGGTGGCTGACTAAATACTTTTTTCCCCCACTGTATATACTCCCTCTGTCATTTGTCTTTGTCGGTCATTGTATATGTTGCTTGTTTTCCTGAGTACTTTATATTTTGCACTGTGGGTTTCATCCCGCTTTAAGCTATGGTGCTTTAATAAATTCAGTAGTTCTAAACCTGTGACTGCCACCTGCCTACTCCTTTCTACACTTGTGACACTTTTGCCACTGCGCTATTCAGACTCTCCTTCATATCTCATAGTGGGAATAGGGTCCTAGCTGTTATTGGCAGAGAGGTTTGGAACTTTCTTTCTTATTCATCTATTAACCATTTTACCTCCTGGTGATGTCACCCGGCAGGCCAAAACTTCATCTCATCAAAACAGGCTGAAATGTCAAATTTTTGAAAGCACTGAGCCTTCAACTCCTGTAAAGTGGTTGACACAGGCTGTGTATGTCCTGGACTGGTGAGGCGTGTGTGTGTGTGTAAGTGCGCTCGTGCATGCTCCCATGTGTGCGTGTGTGTGTTTGTTTGCGAGCACGCATGTGTCTGCATGTGCATGGTGAGGGCGGCGCCAGGTCGGTTGGAATGCACCCAACTGTGAAATGAAATGCATTATGGGCCTGCACTGCTGCCAGGCTGCTTGGTGCTGTGGGAGGAGTCTGTCTGGCAACACTCTGGGCAGACTTCCCTCTTTTCTTCACTCCCTCTCTTTATATATATTTTATTATATAGTTATATAGTACTTTTTCTTCTCTCCAATCCAATCTCTCTCTGCTCTCTCTCTCTGACTGTATCTCGCTTCACTTTGGTGAATTTTAAGAGAATTTGAAAGGTGACAGTCTCTCCATGACTGACCATTTTAAGTTTGTTGTACACATGTCAGACCAAAATTAAAGTCTAAAGTTAAACAGTAGATGATAATGGACTCATCTATTTTTGTGAGTGATTAATCTCATAGGGTATATTTGTGTTACTTTTTTTAACACCCTTGACAAGTTCTAAATATAAAGATGTATAAACATCTAACTTGTATTATGTAAGATGTGAACCCAGTCCCCTAGGACACCTAATGGTCAGGGACTGTATAGCCATTTTAAATGAGCTGCTCCAGTACATACTGGCACTGTGGTTTATTTAGCCCTCTGATGATAGTGTCACCTCTATCCAAACAGGAAGTTTTTCTTTGTTTTTAAACGTCGCTGTGGTGAGGTCATTTCCTGTCTGTCCACCAGCCAGTCGGCCGGCCGGCGACATTCAAACCCACACTTGTTTTGTTTTAAAAGGAAGACAAGCGGAGAGAAAGAGAAAAAAAGATTCAACTCAACTCAAATCCCAGATGTTTCCAAGAACGTGTAGCCAACAGGATCATGCGCCGCCCCTCTAACCACTCCCACTCCCACTCCCACTCCCCCTTCCCCAAAACCCCCTAATGTCAGTTCCCCTCTGATGACATCACAGTCAAGTGTAACTAATCAGAGGACAGAGAACAGCCTGTGTGAGACAGACATAGTGGTGGCCACAGGCGGACTCTCATGCCTATGTTAGAACATTAGAACGCTAGAGGACACAAACAACAAGATGCTACTGTATGTGATGGACACACAGCCGAGAACTATGTTGCATATTCACTGCGGAAAACCTCCTCTATCGCTTTCTCTCTTTCTCCCTCAGCAATTTCTCGCTCCTCTGTCACTCCTCACTGTGTTCCCCCCTCTACCTTCTCCTACTCTGGCTTCTCTCCCTCCCCTCTTCTCTCTCCTGCCTCTCTCTCTCTGCCTTCCCAGTGTTTTATCATTTCTCTCTGCAGCTGTCCAGTCAGCTCAGAGAGTGCATACAGGGACAGCTGGGCTGCAGAGAAAGACAGAGTGAAAGAAAGTAAGAAAGGGAGCAAGAGGAAGAGAGAAAGGACACAGGGAGAGAGAGACCGCGATTTCTCTCTCTCACAAATACCAAACCCACAACCAATATATTGTAGTGTTATTTCAATAATAAAATAATAAAATATTAATATTGATTTATTTCAAACAAACATTTATTTGTGAACTATATGACAAACAGGAGGCAATGAGATCTCAGCTGAACAGGCTACATAGTTGGAAACCCCCCAACCCCAAACCCACCTAAAAATCCACTCAAAATCACTTTTCATTTATTTTTCTCTTCCTTTCATTTCCTTTTTCAAAATGAGTATGTACAAATAAATGTTCAAGTGTCTCTAGAAAGGGAGAGAGCTACATACTTCAACAGTCAGCTCAGAGCTACTGTAGACATTCAGCTTTATTCTCTACGCAAGGATAGAAAGAGTACAAATAATACCGTAATGTATTATTTTCAAGTTACAATACATGTGATGATTTTTTTTGTTTCGTTTTCAGTCATTGCATTCTTCTTTTAGCAAGAGTCAATGTATTAAAAAGAAAGGAAATATATAAAGCGAATATACAGGCAATCTTTCAGTAATAATTTAGCTAATATTATTAACAGCATAAGCTAAGAATTCATGTACATATTGCTAGGCATTGTGACGTGACAGTGGACAGTGTGGATGGGGAGGTGACATAATACAGTTTGCTTTAGGACAGATGAACAATGACAAAGGTATGGTACAGTGGCATTGCCCTCTCATGCCTAGCAGTACCTCTCTCTGAATGGACTGTTGCTTTAGAATGTACCAAGGCTCTCTCCTATCATTGGCTACCTGCCGTGTGACCAGCTGCTGTTACCTGAGGGGGAGGAGCCTGACATATGAACCTGCCAGAAAGCTAAATTAGACCGAAACAACTTCAAAAACACAAGAGGAAAGACCTTTACTGTAAACATAAAAACCTGAAGTGTATTAAGAAGAAGCATATCATCATATTTTCAGTTCCCTTTAAATCTACATAATTCAGGACTTCGTGTGCTCAGTTAATTGTTTTGGGAAAGTAGAAGAGCATAGTGGTCTTTGATACTGTATAACACTTTATGTTTTGATGACAATGAGATGGCAGAGCCTTGAAGAGTAAGCCTATAACACTGATCCTAACTTGACTGTACACAGTCTGTATCTATCTGGACCACGGGACCGTAGCTAACTGGGAAAGGCAGTTGTCAAAAGAGCTGCTGCTCACCAAGACAACGTTATTTTAGAAAGGCACTCTAGTGACCTTATTAATGACAACACAACAAACATGGTGGGCCTCGGGCAGGTAGGTATTGCATTTAGTTCTTCCAGGTCAAAGGGCCTCCTGTTTGTGAGGAGGGCAGGGAGGTAGCAGAGGATGGGTTTGGCAGCAGCTTCTATCAAAGGCAGGAGGAACCAGACCAGTTAGTCTATCTGTGTGGACTGGAATCATGCTCGTCATTGGTTGGATGGCTGGGCCTGGGAGAGACTGTGGGTCTGAACCACAAGGTAATTTAAAGCCTACTACTATAATGCCCTGTTCTTACAACAAGAAGCGCAACACACAAAAGAGCCTGCTGACTGCCCATGTTAACTCAGCTTCTGGAGAGAGAGAGAGCGAGAGAGAGTGAAAGAGAGAGGGGGGGGGGGGGGGGAGAGAGAGGGGGGGGGGAGTGAAAGAGTGAAAGAGAGGGGGGGAGAGAGAGAGGGGGGAAGAGAGAGAGCAAGAGAGCAAGAAAGAGTTAGAGAGAAAGAAAGAAGGGGGGAAGAGAGAGAGCGAGAGAGAGGGGGGGGGGGGGGTAGAGCAAGAGAGGGGGGAGAGAGACAGGAGGAAAGACAGAGAGAACAAGAGAGAGTGAAAAGGGGGAGAAAGAGAGCGAGGGGGGGGGGGGAGATGTGGTGTGTGTATGTTCGTGTTACACATTCATTGAGGCTCTCATGGGTAATGGCCAAATCAGTGTTTTTACGACAGTGACATGCTCATCATTAAGGCTCCTGCCAGGGACTGACTCCTAACCAACATCCATTTATATAGAATACTGTGTGCCACTGCCAATATAGGAAAAACTGAGCCTTTTCTCTTACCTAAAAGCCTTGTAAAAAGCACTTTTTAAAATGAGGGAAGAATCTGCACTATTAGTTCAGCACCATTGCAAACCGAGAGAAAAAACAAACAGATATAAACATTTATATATATATATATAAAAAAAATACAAATAATTTACTTCTCTGAAAAAAGTTCCTTGGTATCAAAAGAACGTAAACCTTTCGCTCTCTCTCCGTGCTTTTAAGAGTTGGTGATGACTTGTTACTTCTGAATGACGTACATAAGGGTACAGTATACTGTATATCCCCCTTGTGTCTAAAATCATTATATGAACAACAATCTGGGGTTCTAGTTGTGACGTGCAGTTTGGTGCGAGCTGACCTAGTCTATCAGGCACTTCAAAGTCAACACTACAACAGTCACCATAGTAACAGACCGATTGACAGCTATCAGACCTTAGAGAGACACTCCAAAATGGAAGGAATCAATCAAATCTAACTAGACAATTTCTCAGTCTCTCTCGTCTCGGATTTCATTTCAAGGTACAAATAACCCTCTTCACAACAGGGGCTTTTGTTCGCCCCCCATTTTCAAGATAATACAGTTTTTCATTAAACATATTACACAAAGTATCTCAAGAATTGAGTGATGACGTGAGAAAGTACTGAGCTAACCTTCTGTAGAGGACGTTGTTACACAAAGCAGGAGAAAAGAGGTCAGGAACACACTGACAGTCGATGAAGGAGAAACACACGCACAAGTTAACAGATTACCCAGAGTGTCATTGGAATTGTAACTTAACAAAGGAATGCATTTTGTCTCAAAATGAGACAAGGAGTTTGTGTTTTTTCCTGGCAGGGAGTTATCTTTACAGCTGGGTTTAGACTGAGTATAGATCCTCCTATACACATACAGCCTACAGTACACACAGAAGACACCACTCAGTCTTCACCACCATACTATCAATGTGTGGCAGCCAGATGACAAACCTTCAAACAACCTTTAGAAAACATAGGATCATATCATACGTGGTACATCATAACAACGTCAATGTCCTAGCCCTACATCGGATTCAAGTCCTTTGGAAAAACGACAGGCATAACATCAGGCAGTTGACATAAAGAAATGATGAAACGTTGAACGGACGTTTTTTGATGGTTGGTGGTTGACAATGGCAAGAGGTGGTCCACACCAGTAGAATCCTCTGCTTGGTGTTGGGGAGGATGTTTGGACAGTGGTCTCCAGATGCCGGGTTGGGAAGGGACTGGTGTTGGGTAGGGATTGGGATTGGGAGCATTCCCAAGTGGTCCCTCTCCAGGCAGCTAACCAACCGCCTCATATCCCTGTCGGTTGGAAAGAGGAAAGAGGTTCTTCTCCCAGACCACTTTCTAGTAGTCCAGTATTCAATAGTCCAGTATGTTTTCCCCTGTGCAATTCCAGGTAAAGTAGAGTGTTGTGGGTTCTGACATTATATAATTCCACACACTGTCTGCATCCAAAATGGCACCCTATTCCCTAAATACTGCACTATATAGGGAGTAGTGTGTGAAGTGGGGTTGTCCTGCTGGTAGTTGATAGTGGTTATGGTGGTCAAAGAGGAATCCTAGGAGATTGTGGTCTTCCTTTGTCCTTGGCAATAGAATGTGCTGCTTGGGTTGAGTTCCAATGTAGACATCTGTGTATGTGCGTGTGCGCGTGCATGTGACAGTGATTCTGTGTGGCAGTTTGTGGAGGATTGTGTGTATGTACATTATGCATGTGGCAGTGTGTTTGTGTGGCAGTTTGCAGGTGTATATATATATATATGTGTGTGTGTAGCCAAGATGTTTGCGTGTGTACGTTTTGTGACAGTACTGTACTGTAGTATGTGGCAGTCTGTTGGCGAGGCAGCATGTATGTACATGTGTGTGTGTGGCAGTGTGAGCTTCCGTGCTCTCTCTGATCCATCACTCATTGTTTGGATCCAATCGCTCCTCTGTTGCCGTTGGAGACTCCTGGGAGAGGTGCATGCAGTGGCCCAGTGAATGGCGTGTGGCCGAGCGGGAGGGCCGGACGAAGCAGGAAGTCAGAGCCTGGGAGGTGCAATCACACACTGCATCCTGGGACAGGTAGGAGACAGTACATAGTTATGTTATAATCCAATCCAATGAAAGACAAAGCTGTTTAAATAATATGCTTGGATATGATGTCCTGTGTGTGTGGGTGTGTGTGTGTGGCGCGCGTTCATGTGTATACCCCTGTCTCTGTGTGAGTGTATGTGTGCCCCTGTCTCTCTGTGTGTGAGTGTGTCTGTGTGTGTGGGACCTACCTCCATGCTGGAGCTCATGGTCAGGTCCCTGGCAGTGGGATCCCTGGTGGTGGGGTCCCTGGCGGTGGGGTCCCTGGCGGTGGGGTCCCTGGCGGTGGGGTCCCTGGCGGTGGGGTCCCTGGCGGTGGCCCCAAGCTCCTCCCTGGGCATCTGTCTCATGAACCTCTTGTTGACGATCTTGGTGACACTGTCGTTCCCCACCAGCGAGGCCCCGGAGAGGCACTCTGGCTTTGGCTCATCCATGGCCCCCACCTCCCTCTGCCCTCTCTCCCCTCCCCCGGGCATGGGCGTCCCGGTCCGGCCGCACACGTTCCTGAAGAATTCCTGGAAGGGGCCGTATTTCTGGGCTCCGGTGTCTGGGCCAGGGCCAGGGCCAGGGCCAGGGCCAGAGGGCTTCCCTGCTGCCTGGCGGGCTGGGCTGGCCCCCGGCTCACTCTTCCATAGGGACTCCACGCTGCCTGAGTGCTCCACCACGCTGAACAGGCTGGACAGGCCGTCGTTGAGGCCACTGAGCACAGGGCTGTCCCTGGTGGTGGTGGAGCGGGCCCAGGCCGAGCCACTGGAGGTCGAGGAGCGCTGGTGCAGGTTCCACAGGCTGCGATCACGGGAGGATGCCGAGGACGACCCTCCTCCGTCCAGCTTGGAGGAGGAGGCGGAGATGCGGCGCTGAAGCTTGGGGGAGCCGTACTTGGGTGAGCAGCAGGGCCTGTCGATGCGGCTGTGCACCTTATCCAGGGACGAGGAGATGTGGCGTGAGCGGGCCGAGGCCAGTGAGGACGAAGGCCGGGGGGACCAGGAGGACTTAGTGTGGAGGCTCCCTACCCCCCGAGACCCGAGCCCGTCTGTCTGCAGTCCCACAGTCACAAACTGGGCCGTCTGGGTGGAGCGGCTAGACACCAACACCGTCTGGCTGCCTGCGTCCTTGCTGCACTTCCTCTCCAGAGAGCTGGAGCGGATGGCCTGGCGCACGCAGTTGGTCATCTCCTTCATGTCGTCCGAGAGGTTGGCAGAGATCTCCAGGCCGTGGAAGGGCGCCACCCCCGCACCCACACTGCTGTTCTCCAGAAGGTCCCTGTGCTGGTTGGACAGAGAGCTCAGCCACTGGTCGTAGGACGAAGAGGAGGAGGAGGCAGAGGAGGAAGAAGAAGGCTGGCCCTCCAGGGCCCCAGCGTCTGACGGAGTTGAAGCCCGGGACAGGTGGCCTTGCTGGGCTTGAGGTTTGTCCTGCTTCTCCTTGGCCAGCATCCTCTCCATACGGCGCATGGTGGGGGGGCTGTAGTAGATACGGATGCCGGTCTTGTCGGGGGCCGTGTAGCTCCTCTGGATGCTCCCCAGGCCCAGGAAACTACTGGGGGAGCTGGGGCAGTCCCATGTCTTGAAGGGGGTATCACCCTGCTCCATCATAGCCACCTCATTGGTCAGGTACTTCCAGTTCCTCCTGGTTAGGTCACCCAGGTCTGTGTGGGCTGGAAGGGGAGGGGCCTGGGTGTTGGGCTGGTCCTTCTCTCCCTTCTCATTGGCTGTCCCGTTGACCTCCTGACCCGGAAGGAAAGGACAGGCCTCCAGCAGACCCTCCAACTCTGGCATGGACGGGATGGATTTGGTCCTGGGAGAAGAAAAATGATATCATTAAACATTATTTTTCAGCTACTACTATTTATTTTTCATGATAACTGAAATGTAGAGTTTTGTATACATTCAAAGCCAATGTTACCTTAGTAAATTGCTTCCATTTGTAACAGCATCTGTTGCAGTTTCCCTTTCGGAGGTAGTTTTGTCGTGCATAGACTGTAAGGGAGAGAAACAAGGAGAGGTTTTAAGTTGCCTGCCCAGCCAGGCCGTTAGGTTTTATAGGTAGTGTTTAATGGAGGACATGAGGAGGATGTGGCCATCATGAAGGACATACAGTATCTCTCCCTGACAGAGGGCTCGCTGTCCATGTAGTGACACTGACTCAGGACCTTTCAGCTCGCAGGGAGATGAGCTCACACACACACACACACACACACACACACACACACACACACACACACACACACACACACACACACACACACACACACACACACACACACACACACACACACACACACACACACATTCACACAACCTAAACCATTTCCTTTCAGAGGGGGAGGGAGGAAAGAGGAGAGGGGAGGGAGAGGGGGAAGGAGAGAGGAGGAAGGGGGAGAGAGGAGGAAGGGGGAGAGAGGAGGGGAGGGAAGGGAGGAAGGAAGAAGAGGAAGGATGGGGGCGGTTCAATGGAATCCTACAGTACATGACTGCTGTCTACATCATGAAGGAAAAGAAACAACTTGTTTGTTTTGTTAAACAGATTTTGTTTTCAGGGTATGTTGAAGCACAACGAACAGAACCAACAGTAGGGCTACGACAGATTGGAGAAAATAGTTGAGAGCGAAAGAGACGTCTGTCCGAAATAATGACATGTCCTCTTGTGTGCTTGGCCTCAGTGCTATGCTTCCTGTGCGGTTTTCTGCCACAATGAGTATTGGAGCGAGAGAGAGACAGTCCTATTTTCCAAGACCAGCCAGTCAGCTTGGGATAGACTGGATGACAGCCAGACAGACACAGGTAATGAGGCTGGGCTGGTAGTAGAGCCAGTCAGACTATGCCAAGCACACACACACACACACACACACACACACACACACACACACACACACACACACACACACACACACACACACACACACACACACACACACACACACACACACACACACACACACACAAGCCTCCAGTGTGGTTAGACCACGCAGCAGACACACTCATGTTCAGCAGCATGCAGTCTCTCCTTGCATTCCTCTACTGGCCAGTCATCCGCCCCACAGTGAAAGCTCTATGGAAAACACTCAACCACATAGAGTACCGTAATGCATACAAGCCCACAATGTCCTACCAGTGACAACCTCCCATTCCACCCCATCAAAATACCACCTTGAGGAAGGAAAAAGAGGATAGTCATTAGATGTCACAAGGATAGTCAGTGTCACTCTCAATACTTATGTAGGCTGTGTGTAGCGGTTATGATCTGGTTTGGCTTCAAAAGTTACATACATCTGATGTGTTGAGTCCAAAAACGAAGAGAAAAGATGAAAGGAGGAGAGCGCATAGATGTGAGAAGGAATACAACGTGGCTGCTATTAAAGTGAACTGTGTTTACACGTGATCAGGGGTGTATTCATTCTGCTGATTCTGTTGAAAAACGTTTCTTAAACGGAAGCAAGTGGAACGAGCGGGGTTAAACATACCTTAATTTGTCCAATAGAAACTCTTGTTTTTATTTCAGGCCCCGTGTAGCTCAGTTGGTAGAGCATGGCGTTTGCAATGCCAGGGTTGTGGGTTCGATTCCCACAGGGGGCCAGTATGAAAAATGTATGCACTCACTACCTGTAAGTCGCTCTGGATAAGAGCGTCTGCTAAATGACTAAAATGTAAAATGTTATGGCTAAGTGTCACTCTCAATATACATGGTTATGCCAGACTACTAGACTATGCTAGCAGAGTAGAAGCTCTGAGGTGCAATGAAATCAAGTTACCATCTTGTTCTGTAGCCTCTGCTCCCACTGGCCTCTCTCCTGACTGAAGTGCTCTAGAAGCTCCAGCTTCTCACGGCTCCAGTTCCTCTCTCCCATCTGCAGCTGCTTGGTCAGGTCCATGACGGCGGCATACGAGTCGGCCAGGAGGTGCTGGTACTCCTCACGATCCCTCTTCAGGGCCATCTTCAGGTCGGGAGGTCCTTGGAGGTCCTTCTCCTCCCCGGCCAGCGCAGCTTGGCCCAACTTGCTCTCCAGCTGGAAGGGGGTGACAGAGGGGGTGAGGTTGATGAACATGACGAATTATGGGGGATGGAGTGCGGTTGGTGCACAAGTTCTTGTTCCATGCATTTCTGAACAGCTAAATTAGATGTAGGCCTACAGGTGATGAAATACCCAATTGCAGAAAAACAGACACTTCCTGAATTCCACTCTCTCTCACTGATTTACACTCTAGATACTTTTCTATCTCTTTCTTTCTCACTTTCTTTCTTTCTTTCTTTCTTTCTTTCTTTCTTTCTTTCTTTCTTTCTTTCTTTCTTTCTTTCTTTCTTTCTCTGAGAACAACTGTTAGTGTTTATCTGAATTAGTGGTGCGTGGGTTGACTCATAACCCGCAGTCGCTGTGGTTATATCTGCGGGGCGGGCGGGTTTAGGGTCATGAAATATTATGTGGATGAAGGGCGGTGGGTTGCGGGCGGGTTGAATAAAGAGAAAACAATGCATAAAAAAATGTATGTATAATTCTTGTGCAATTCATATCTATAGGCTACATTGATGATTTTTCTTTCATAATTTTTTATTTGGCATTGGTGCGTAAGCCTAAGCTTTAGGTCCTAATTTTACCCGCACTGACTGAAACCTGGCACAGTGGACGCTATTCTGTTTCTCAACAGTGCTGCAAAAGAAAGACAAAGTAAGCAATTATAACTTCATAACTGGACAGTGGGTACTTAGATTTTCTCAACTTTATGTTACGTTATATCCTATTTATTTTCTATGCCTATTCATTTTTTTATTCAATTTTTTTTTTTACATTCATATGCCGGTATAGGCTATTAGCCCATTTCACATTTTGTTTCGTTTCAGCAAAACGATAGGCTACCGTCCAATAAGCCTTTTCCAATGAATAGGGCTAAATGCTCAAGAAAAACATAATTGTTCACTTAATTGTTCAAGGGAAAAGTATCCCAATTGTACAGTGTATTTTCACAAAAGCATGACCAATATCTGATTTATTGTTTGACTATTTTTTCACAAAAGCATGTGCAAGGTGTCAATTTAGGCTATTGTTTGACATTTGTTGTTTCAGCAACACATTAAGCTACTGTTCAATAGGCATAAATATTAATTAAATAAATGAGTAAATGTTGAAGGAAAACGTCATTGTTCAATAATTTTTTAAGAGAGAAAAAAGGAACTGTACAGCACATTTTCTATATTTGTGAGTTAGGATCAGATTTTCACTTTATCACATATAGTGGGGTGATTGCGGATGGGTAATTAGCAATTGCGGGTGGGTGTGTGTGAACAAACATCTGACCCGTGCATCACGAATGTGAATATCTAAACAGACTTTATTTGCTCTTTAGTATTCCTCCCTCTATAAAACCAGATATGGAGCGAAGCAATGAGAAAGCCCTATAAATAAAGAACAACAGTAGATGCTGACAATTTGAATAAGTCATCCCTTGTTTTTGAGGCGGAAGAGAAAACGGAGAGAAAACCTGGAAACTATCAGTCACATTAAAGAGACAACAGCTGAAGAAGCCCGCTACGTTTCTCCCTTCATTCTCCTCCTCTTTCCCTCCTCTCTCCACCTCTACCTCCTCTTTCCCTCCTCTCTCCACCTCTACCTCCTCTTTCCCTCCTTTTCTCCCCACCACCTCGCCCCTCCTCTGTTCCCCTCCTCTCCTCCAACCTCGCACTCCTCTTTCCATCCCTCCCTCTCCACCACCACCTACCTTCCCTCTTATCCACCTCTCCTCCTCTTCCACCTCTCTCCCACTCCCTCCTTGTCCCCTCCTCTCTCCACCCGCCCATCCTCTTGTCCCTCCTTCTCGCACACCCTCCTCTCCCTCCTCTTTCCTCCCTCTCACCTCTACCTCCTCTTTCCACATCCTCTCCCACATCTCCCTCCCTTTCCCCTCGTCTCTTCCAACCTTCTACCTCCTCTTCCCCCCTTCCCTCCCACATCTCCCGTTCCGTCTTTCCGCTCGTCTCCTCCACCTCTACCATCCTCTTTCCCTCCTCTCTTCCAACCTCTACCTCCTCTTTCCCTCCTCTCTCCAACATCTAGCCCTCCTCTTTTCCCCTCCTCTCCTCCACCTTGCCCTCCCTCTTTCCCCCTCCTCCCCTCGCCCACCTCCTACCTCTCCCTCCACCCCTCTACCCCTTCCATCCTCTCCAACCCTGCCCTCCTCTTTCCCCTCCTCTCTCCCCCTTGCCCTCCTCTTCCCTTCCTCTCTCCACCCGTTGCCCCTCCCTCTTTCCCTTCCTCTCTCCACCTCCGCCCTCCTCTTTCCCTCCTCTCTCCACCTCTACCTCCTCTTTTCCCTCCTCATCCCCAACCTTGCCCCCCCTTATCCTCCCTCTCTCCACCTCCTCCGCTCCGCTTTCCCTCCTCTCTCCACCTCTGCCCCTCCTCTTATCCCCCCCTTTCTTCCACCATCGTCCTCCTCGTTCACCACCTCTCCTCCTCGTCCCTCCTACTTTCGCCCTCCTCTCCGTCCAACGCATCGTCCCTCCTCTTTCCCTCCGCTCTCCCATCCACTCCTCTTTCCCCTTTCTGCTTCTCCACCTTTCTCTTTCTTTCCCTCCTCTCTCTCACCCTCCCGTCCTCTTTTACCCTCCTTTCTCCACCTCTCCCTCCCTCCTCCCCCTCCCCTCACTCTTTTTCCCTCCTCTCTCCCATCCACTCCCTCCTCTTGTCCCTCTTCTCTCTCCCCGTCCCCTCCTCTTCCCTCCTTTCTCCACCCTCCGGCCCTCCCCCTCTCCCACCGCTCGTCCCTCCTCTTTCCCTCTCTCCTCCCCCCCCTCCCTCCTCTCCTACTCTCTCTCCCACCTCTCCCTCCTCTTTCTCCCTCCTCTCTCCCCCAACCTTTCCCTCCTCTGTCCCTCCCCCTCTCTCCCCCTCTCCCTACCTTCCCTCCCTTCCTCTCCCACCTACCGCCCGGTGCCCCTCCCTCTCCCCCTCCCCTCCTCTTCCCTCCTCTCTCCACGCTCGCCCCCCGTGGTCCCTCCTCTCTCACCTCGCCCTCCTCGTTCCCTCTCTCCCCCCAACCCCTCCGTCTTTCCCTCTTCCCTCCTCTCCACCTCTCCCTCCTCTTTCCCTCCTCTTTCCCTCCTCTCTCCACCACTCCCTCCTCTGTCCCTCCTCTCTCCACCTCTCCCTGCTCTTTCCCTCCTCTCTCCACATCTCCCCCCTCTTTCCCTCCCTTCTCCACCTCTACCTCCTCTTTCCCTCCTCTCTCCACCTTGCCCTCCTCTTCTCCCCCTCACCCTCCTCTTTCCCTCCTCTCTCCACCTTGCCCTCCTCTCTCCACCTCGCCCTCCTCTTTCCCTCCTCTCTCCACCTCTCCCTCCTCTTTCCCTCCTCTCCCAACCTTGCGCTCCTCTTTCCCTCCTCTCTCCACCTCTTTCCCTCCTTTCTCCACCTCGTCCTCCTTTCCCTCCCTCTCTCCCTCCTCTTTCCCTCCTCTCTCCACCTCGCCTCCTCTTTCCCTCCTCTCTCCACCTTCCCTCCTCTTTCCCTCCTCTCTCCACCTCTCCCTCCTCTTTCCCTCCTCTCTCCACCTCTCCTCCTCTTTCCCTCCTTTCTCCACCTCGCCCTCCTCTCTCCACCTCGCCCTCCTCTTTCCCTCCTCTCTCCACCACTCCCTCCTCTTTCCCTCTTCTCTCCACCTCTCCCTCCTCTTTCCCTCCTTTCTCCACCTCCCCTCCTCTCTCCCCCTCGCCCTCCTCTTTCCCTCCTCTCTCCACCACTCCCTCCTCTTTCACTCTTCTCTCCACCTCTCCCTCCTCTTTCCCTCCTCTCTCCAACACTCCCTCCTCTGTCCCTCCTCTCTCCACCTCTCCCTACTCTTTCCTCTCCCTCTCTTCCACCTCGCCCTCCTCTTTCCCTTCCCTCCTCTCTCCACCTCGCCCTCCTCTTTCCCTCCTTTCTCCACCTCGCCCTAGTCTTATCCTCCTCTCTCCACCCTTTCTCCACCTCTCCTTCCTCTTTCACTCTCTTTCCTCTCCACCTCTCCTCCTCTTTCCCCTCCTCCCCTCTCTCCTCTTCCCCCTCTCTCCACCTTTCGTCCCTCCCTCCTCTTCTCACCCCTCTCCCCCCTTTCTCCACCTTCCTCCTTCCTCCTCTCTCCCTCCTCTTTCCCTCCCTCTCCTCCTCTCCCCACTCCCTCTTCTTCTCTCTCACCTCCCCCCCTCTTCCCTCCTCTCTCCCCTCGTCCTCCTAACTTCCCCCTCTTTTTACCCCCTCCCTCCCTCTCCACCTCTTCACCTCCCTCTTTCTTCTCCTCTCTTTCTCCCCCCTTCTCCCCCCTCCCTCCTCTCTCCCACCTTCCTCCCTCCCTCTTTCCTCTCTCTCTCCCCTCTCTCCCCCTCTCTCATTCCTCCTCTTCCTCCTTCTCACCCTCCCTCTACCTCCTTTCCACCTCAGCCTTTCCTCTCATTCCCCTCTCCTCCTCATTTCGCCCCTCTCCCTCCGCTCCCTCTCCCCCTCCTTCTCTCCACCTCTCCCCCTCTTTCCCCTTTCTCCACCCTTCCCCCTCTTTCCACCCTCCCTCTCTTTCCCTCCTTTCCTCTCTCCCTCCTCTTTCTCCTTTCTCACTCTCTCTCTTTCCCCTCTTTCTCCACCGCTCCCTTCTCTCCAATCCCCCCATTTGAATGAATCAAGCAGCGCTTCAAGGAGGTGATTACTCTTTATATTTTTTACAAGTCTGTCTCGTTTTTTTTCTCATATTAGAACTCACAGCTTTCAGTGGAGGGAGCCCCATCAATCGCTATGGTGGGGACGACTGCAGGTTCCTGCCTTATATGGTGCTAATGGAGGAGTCTGGGCGGCCTATTGGACGACTACGCCATTCGTCTCCGACGGCGACGGAGCGTTGATCTCATCTGATGATGAATATCCCTAATGAGTTTTATTGGTGAGGCGTTGCGGGGCTGTGACTTAATAGTTGTCTGGAGGTTTATTGCACAGAGAAAGACTTTTGCTTTGAACGCTCCCAATTCACCCCAGTTTCCACCCAAAACAACTTTAGACAGACTTCCTAAAAGGGTTTTCTGTAGGCATCTGTAGGCATTAGGCCCTAAGCCTGGTTCCACAGTGCAACAGCTGCTGGTGCCATGCCACGTTGCCAGGATGCCATCCTACTGATGTGGTTGGCAGAGCAGATCAGGGAGAGATTGGCCCCAGCTGTGCCATCCAGATCTTGGGCACCAGACCAGTAGGTCTACACAAGACAAGGGCACAGTAACAGCATAGTTTATAGAGTGAAGGGGGCATTGTAGAATTGTGTGTGTGTGTGTGTGTGTGTGTGTGTGTGTGTGTGTGTGTGTGTGTGTGTGTGTGTGTGTGTGTGTGTGTGTGTGTGTGTGTGTGTGTGTGTGTGTGTGTGTGTGTGTGTGTGTGTGTGTGCGTGCGTGCGTGTATGACTCTCAGGGTGGGGCAGCAGATGATGAATGAGTTTCTCAAAAAATAAGAAATACTAAATGAATCATGCTCTAATTATGCCATAAAGGTTAGTCAGTAAATCTGATCTAATAAAATCACCGCACTGCATTTGGGGAAAGTCACCTGTCAGCACTTTCAGATGACAAATGATCCCAGACTGGGAAAAGAGAGCCAACGCTTTGATTATGGCCATGATTCACACAGGTGACGCCATTTTAAAGTGTTCCAACTGAATTACTACATTGGCATCTGGGTCTTCTTGTGAGACACAAACAAAACACAAATCAGGACTTTAATTAACCCAAGGCAAAATGTAGGCTTCACCCAAGGCTACAGCCTGGGCCATGCTCCTACAGTCCATGTTGGGCCTTATTTCATCAGGAAATATCAATTAAAAAGAAGTTAGTTGTATCAAGTTTCATAAGATCTAGAACTATAGCGCAAGAAGCCCCTTTTCCTCTCTCCCTATCCATTTTTCCCCCCTCTCTCTCCCTCTCTCCCTCTCTCCCGGACACACAACACATTACTACTGCCATGGAAGAGAGAGACAAAACTCCTCCATGGTTGTAAATTGTGTAAATTGTGACGCCCCCCCTCCCTTCCTCTGTTTATTTCTCCCCCATTTTCTTTCGCTCTCTCTCTCTCTCTCTCTCTCGTTATTACTCTTCATCTCTCCTCCTCTTGATTCCTTTTCTATTTTTCTCCTTCTGTTTCCCCCCTGGTATGTAATGCAGTGGCCTGTCTTAAAGCATGTTCATTTAAGTCATTTTGGAGGCTGCTGTTATGAGAACGTCTCAGGCTGGCAGTCGTCTGGATATTAAACTCATCTCTCACTGCCAGATACCCTCTCTCACACACATGCACGCACGCGAGCACGCACGCGAGCACGCACACACACACACACACACACACACACACACACACACACACACACACACACACACACACACACACACACACACACACACACACACACACACACACACACACACACACACAGTGAACGGAGGTCTGAGGGAAAAACAGACGGCCAGACGGAACACCAGACAAATAGATTGGTACAAATCCACCACCTAAGGATATCAGCAGTTTCAAGCCATTTGTCACTATGAGTATTGGTGATGAAATGAATACCCAGTGACTGATTCATACTGAACTGTAACATAATCCTTTTTTCAGTGAGTAGATTGTAACAAATGGAAGGTCATGTCATCCTTTATGAATGGGTAACTTGATCTGTGTTCAGCTTCATGGTGTGCTCTCCTGCATGCTGAATGGATAGCTATAGTTCCACTACAAAACGTCACTTAATGGCCGTACAATCAATGACTTTGCCCCAGACATCCAGGTAGCCAAAAGGAGAAACAATTGGGGCCCAGTAGGTATAGAATATCTGACTGATCAGGCATGAATCTACACTAAAGTAATGACTCTACCTCCAAACAGGGAGAGATCGTAACCCTGGTGGCTAGGGTCCTATTATCTGTCCTCTCTCTCCAGTAGTCTGTGTGGTACCAGGGTGCTAAAAGGTGTGATGAATTACTGCCCTCCCAGGGCGGCTTTATGCTAAGCCTAGATAATGGTCTGTAAGCTACATAATAACCTGGCCTCTAAACTAGCCAAATAACACCTGATGGTTGAGGGTTTTTTGTTGGTTTTAGGTCAACTAGCTATACACTCTTCGGATAACCCTTTTTGGTTCCCCATAGGAGAACCCTTTTTGGTTCCAGGTAGAACCCATTGTGTTCCATTTATAACCCTCTGTAGAAAGGGTTCTAACGGCAACCAAAAAGCGTTCTTTAAACGGTTCTGCTATGGGGACAGCCGAAGAACCCTTTCAAGTTCTAGATAGCACCTTTTTTTCTAAGAGTGTAGGTTTAAAACTATGCAACAGAGCTTTCTATAGACTAGCTAGCACAATACCATGTCAGCCACATTGAGTGTCAGCTCGCTCACATCATTATAATGCCAGTTGCTTTCAGTAGGTGTTCTGGTCTTACCTGGGTGATGAGGCTCAAGAGCTCTGTCCTCTCCACCTCCCAGGAGGCCTTGGCACGGGCAAACTGCTGGGTGAGTTCCTGGGAGCCCTGACGCTCCTCTCGCAGCACTCCGCTCAGATCCTGGAGCGCTCCCTTGAGGTCTGCCAGAGTGCTGCTCACGCCGCTCGTCTAGGGCACGGACAAGATAGAGAATCAGTGAATGACCTCGTCATAGAGATGAATATAATATTTACATTTAACATTATTACTATCTGAATAATACCTCTATATTATCTCTAACTATTTATCTCTCGAGGATCTCTATGCCACATTTAGTCTCAAATATTGCATTAATACTGTATTTTCCAGTGTTAACCCTGTGTGTCCTGTACCTGTTTGTAGCTCTTCTCCAGCATGCAGAGCTCCTTGGAGATGCTGGGGCTGAGGGACTGCTCCTCTGCGGCGGCCATCTTGTTGTCTCCCTGGTGGGCGGCCAGACTCTCCTCCTCCAGCAGCAGGTACAGGTCCTTCAGACTATTCACCTGTAGGGAAACACACAGCACATTATCTGTCAGTCAGTCAGCCACTCAGTCAAACAGTTAATCAGTCAGCCAGCCAGTCAGCCAGCCAGCCAGCCAATCAGCCAGCAAGCCAACCAATCAACCAACCAACCAAACTATTCTGCCACAGCTAAGTGGTTGATTCAAAAGGAGAAGGTGTCCACCAGTCCTGTACCTCCAGGACATCCTTGGCCTCCGTGTCCAGCTTGCGTCCCAGCCGCCACTGTTTGAGGAAGCAGCGCAGCTTGAGGCTGAGCAGCAGCAAGGTCTGCTTGAGCTGGTGGGACTCCTGCACCATCAGGTTCCTCTCTTGGCTCCAGAACTTCTGTTGCAGCCGTGTCTGCAGACTCAGACTCTGCAGCTGGAAGTCCCTCCGCGTCAGGGCCTTCTGGTGCTCCTCCTGCAGCTGGGGACACAGGGAGACACAAACACATACACACACATACACACACATACACACACGCACAGGACACAGGCCAGTTAGTGAGGGCTACAGTGACAGTGTTGTTATTATAAGGGATGCGCTTCATAGCACTTGTTTATGAAGTGGGTGCATGTATGTGGGTGCAAGTGGGTGCATGTATGTAATAAACAGTTGTTAAACATATAGTAGCGATACCATACTGTTCTGCACTGGGCGCATATTCTGTATTAGCATTGACAAGACGTTACAGTAACAATGCTCTGCGTAATATAATAATACTTTGAGCAAAAATGTTTATTTTTAATTCACAATCTGTAGAAACAATGAGAATAGAAATGTTCCGAACTTTTGTAAAACATCAAAGTACAGTTGAAATATATATGGCAAATAGAAATCCTATATGGATGGTGTTAAGAGATAGATGGGAGGTGTTGAATGGAGTTGAAGGATGGGACTAATAACAAATAACAACAAATAATAACAAGATAACTAATAATGTAAGCAAACTGTGTCCATAATAAGTATATAGGTTGTATGTTGGGAGCTTTTGGGAAAGAGCACAGTTAGAAAGATATGGCATATAGAAGCAAACCGGATGGACATCATGAAAATGATCGGAGAGGTTGAGAGTAGAAGAAGTTCAGGAGCAAAAACAAATAAAATAGAATTGTTGTAAAATTGACTGTGTCCATAAAATGTAGATAGTAAGTATAAGCTGGAAGTAGAGGCCTAAGCATTGTTGTTCACTAATTTACCCCAAGTAGGTAAAGGATGGCGGGTTGAAAAGTAATAAAGGGGAGTATATATATAAAAAAACAAAAAAGATAATGCTCTGCGTGGTTTAGCAGGGTTTGTCTTTAGTCAGTGTTGTGTACATAGACATAGAACAGTTGTATTTCTATGGGTGTGTACCTGTGTGAGTGTCTGAGAACTGCTGTGGATGTGGTCTGTCTGTGTGGGGGCCTGTCTCTCCAGAGTCAGTTCCTCCTGCGTCCCGTGAGCCGTCTCCCTCGCATCCAACAGAAGGGCCTGCAGCTCACTGATCTGCTGAGGGAGGGAGGGAGCGAAGGAGGGAGAGAGAGAAGTACTCCATTATAGCTAGAGTAAAATACACCACACCACCTCCCAACTAAAAAATATCCTTCTTTAGATTGTATAACACAACAAACATCAACAAACATATTGATCATAACTCTACTCCAAACAGGGAACAACAATCCCCGCTACACAGTTAAATAATACATTACACTTACACCCACAGTCGGCCCTGTGGTAGAACGAACATGCCTCATCTTAAATATCATCACATACTTCATTTGGCTGTGGAGTGAGACGCATCGACCGTTCCCCTTAATGTTCTTCTTCTTCACCCTCCGCTAACTCGTGGTGCGGGCCACCCCGACCCAGCCCACCATCACCGTTAACCCACTAACTGCTAACTCAAATGGCCTCCTTTATAACGATAGGCTCAAGACCAGCCGCTCGATCTCTTCATTATCACTCAGCGGCAAAAAATCATTCTCGCCAATTAGATGAAGCGTGTAAAATGTGATAGGGCTGGGATGTTCTGTGGAAGACGGAAATACCCTGAGGGAATTGTATTACTCTAAAGGCTTGAGAGGTTTGAAAATGAAAATGCAATTATTTAATATCCACTGTGTGTATAATGTGCCATGGATATCTGTGTTTAAATGGCGTTAGGCTACTAGTTGCTGCTGTGTTTTGAAGTATAAAGACGGCGACCATTATGCTTTGTCTTGCGATTCTCTGAGGGATTTGCCAGATAAGTGAAAATACTATGTCATTTATTTTCATATGTAAGCTTGATAGGCGTTGCTGGAATCATTTTTGGTTGTTGTTGTACAATTTCACCCACCATTCGTCTACCCTTATTGTGTTTTCTGAGTGAGTAAACTTTCCTGTCAGTGTAGGTCCCCATTGCGCTATGACACTAGCTCACTATTGCTCAGCGAGTAACATAATCGATTTACAGCTGATTTTGTATATCAGTTACACCATAACCAGCTTTTGTATATCGCTCCCTCCTTCACCTCTGCAGCCTCTATAAGTGACTTCTGACACCCTCAATTTCTCACCAAAGGGATTGAGGAGCGAGGGGAGCTCAATTTCAGCTGCTAGACCTTTCAAGTTCGTCAAATTTCAATGCATATTTGCCTCGTAGAACATAAAAAGGGTGTAAAGGGCTTACATTTCCCAGCCAAGCCTCAGACGCAGCCTCCATTTACATAAATGGATAACCTGCTGTCAGTTTCTGATGCCCTTCACAGCTTTATGTCAGTCACACCACTGCCCTGCAGAAGAATCTCCCATTTAAAGGTAGACTCAGCGATATAACGTAAATGCAGAAAGTAAAAAAGCATAATGGGTCAATTTCTGCAACAAATAAGAGAGTTAAAGCGCGAGGCTGTTTGACTGTGTGAGAGCGAAGTGTTACATCTCGCTAATCTCAATATCTCCAGTGCTGCTCGTGGCAACATCATTTCGCTGAGTCTACCTTTAAGTAGCTTTCTGAGCAGGATATAGTACCCTATTTCTAACATTCTGGCTAAGAAATGGAATAACAGATTATCATACAATACATTACTGAGCTACTCTGAAAGGGTTGGGTGGAAGGAATGGACACGAGAGGCACCACTCAGTGGGGAGAGACCAGGGCCGTCTTCATTAGGGACCAAACAGAAGAAAACGGACTGAAATGTGGAGGGACTACCTGAACTTGTCCAATAAGAAACGCTCCTTTTCATTTTCCGTTGCACAACGTTTTGAAACCATGTGAATAGAACAGTTACCCTGATGGACCCCAGGTTCCCACCAACACTCCCACATCCATGTCCATACATCAGCCCTGTCACGCTTCTATCGACGACCCTGTCCTTCCCTCCCTGGACCTGGTCCTGGACTTCCCTGTCCCTGTCCTGGCAGCCTAATCACTGATCACTGAGAGGGAAGAGAGGAGCAGGGTGGATGAATGACGTGTAGAAGCCAACAGTAGTCTTTGATGCAGTGATTACTGAGATAAATGAATAGGCCTAAAGATCTCAAACACGTGGCCCACAAGCCAATTTAATGTGGCGTGCAATCTTGTCATAGTTCATAGTTGTCATCGCCTACTATGATTATATCATTTTTAATTTCGAATGTGTTTTAATTTTGCAGATACAGAGAAATCAACTGAGTTATTGCACCTTTAATACCTATCCTACTGACAGCAACCATGAGGTTCTCTCAGTATATAAAGTGTGTGGTGTGTTCAGATTACTAACTGATTATGTGCTACAATACAGTCCAGAGAGAAACCTTTCATTTCACGACTCTCACATAATAAAACCAACATTGCAATATCCTGTAACAGGAGAGCGGGATGTGGCGATTGTGTTTCTCTCTGCTCTATTCATCGCTTCTGCTGATTCCCTCTCACAGCCCAGGTTTCCAAGGAGGCCTGCTATGGAAAGACCAAACAAACACTGAGCAGCAGACACGTCCTCTTCTCACTTCAAGAGTTGATGTCATTGTGTTTACAGCAGCAGCGTGATTCCAGCCTGATTAACCCACATGAAAGAACAAGGGAAGCAAGCCTAAAGACAGCATAAACCACATGCTTGGGCCATCAAGGAGTGCACAGTGTGTATGTTTTGGGGGGGGGGGACTAAGGTCACAGGAGTAAGGTAGAATCTTACTAAGCCGGTTCTGATGCTAGATGGATGTAGCAGGGCTTGCAAACTATCACGGACTACAAAGGGAAACCCAGCCGTGAGCTGCCCAGCTACGCAAGCCTACCAGAGAAGCTTAATGCCTTCTATGCTCGCTTCGAGGTAAGCAACACTGAACCATGCATGAGAGCACCAGTTGTTCCAGACGACTATGTGATCTCGTGCTCCATAGCCGATGCGAGTGAGACCTTTAAACAGGTTAACATTCGCAAGGCCGGGGCGCCAGACGGAAAATACCAGGACGCGTACTCAGAGCATGTGCTGACCAGCTGGCATGTGTCTTCACTGACATTTCATCCCTGACTCGGTCTGTAATACCAACTTGTTTCAAGCAGACCACGATAGTCCCTGTGCCCAAAGATACCAAGGTAACCTGCCTAAATGACTATAGACATGAAAGGCTTTGAAAGGCTGGTCATGGCTCACATCAACACCATCATCCCAAACACCATGGGCCTACTCCAATTCGCATACCTCCCCAACAGATCCACAGATGACACAATCTCTATTGCACTCCACAATGCCCTCACCCACCTGGACAAAAGTAATACCTATGTAAGAATGCTGTTCATTGACTACAGCTCAGCATTCAACACCATAGTCCCCTCCAAGCTCATCCCCAAGCTTTGGACCCTGGGACTGAACACCTCCGTCTGCAACTGGATCCTAGACTTCCTGATGGGCTGCCCCCAGGTGGTGAGGGCAGGCAACAACACATCCGGCACGCTGACCATCAACACGGAGGCCCCTCAGGGGTGCGTGCTTAGTTTCCTCCTGTACTCCCTATTCACCTACAACTGTGTGGCTGCGAAAGATTCCAACACCATCATTAAGTTTGCTGACGACACAACGGTGGTAGGACTTACCACAGACGACGATGGGGCTGCCTATAGGGAGGAGGTCAGAGACCTGGCAGTGAGTGCAAGGACAACAACCTCTCCCTCAACGTCAGCAAGACAAAGGATCTTATCGTGGACTACAGGAAAAGGAGAGATGAGCACGCCCCCATACACATCGATGGGGCTGTAGTGGAGCGGGTCGAGAGCTTCAAGTTCCTTGGTGTCCACACACACACACACACACACACACACACACACAGTTGTGAAAAGGGCATGACAGTGCCTCTTCCCCCTCCGGAGGCTGAAAAGACATGACATGGACCCTCAAATTCTCAAGTTCTACAGCTGCACCATTGAGAGCATCTTGACTGGCTACATCACCGCTTGGTATGGCAACTGCAAGGCACTTGACCACAAGGCGCTACAGAGGGTGGTGAGTACGGTCCAGTACATCACTGGGGCTGAGCTTCCTGCCATCTAGGACCTCTATACCAGGCAGTGTCAGAGGAAGGGCCAAATAAGTGTCAAAGACTCCAGCCACCCAAGCCATAGACTCTTCTCTCTGCTACTGCACGGCAAGCGGTACCAGTGCACCAAGTTTGGAACCAACAGGACCCTGAACAGCTTCTACCCCCAAGCCATAAGACTGCTAAAGAAGACTGCTAAATAGCCAATCAAATGGCTACCCGGACTACCTACAATGACCCTTTTTTACACTAACTCTCTTGCACTGGTTCTATGCACACACACTGGGCTCTACCCACACACTCACACATACACCCCAACACACTACATATACCCACACACACATAACACGCTCACACATACACTCACACACACACACACACACACACTCTTTTACACTCACCACATACGCTGCTGCTACTGTCTATTATCTATCCTGTTGCTTAGTCACTTTACCCCTACTATATGTACATAGCTACCTCAATTACCTCGTACCCCTGCATGTTCTCCCTGTATATAGCCATGTTATTTTTACTAGTTATTTTTATTAGTTATTCACTGGGTATTTATTCCTTGTGTCACTATTTCAATTTTTTTGTATCTTGATCTTTAACTCTGCATTGTTGGAAAAGCACCCGTAAGTAAGCATTTAACTGTTAGTCTACACCTGTTGTTTACGAAACATGTGACAAATACAATTTCATTTGGATAGATTATGTGGGTGTGTATTTTGACTGTACTGTAGCAGCGACCTACCAGAGCTGTGTCCGTCTCCTGTGTTTCCTGGTTCTGGTTGCTGTCAGTGCGGCTGTCACCCTCCTCCTTCTGACCTTTCACATCGCGCTCTGATTGGTCCCTAAAGTTGGGCTGCTGCATGCAATGGCAAGTTAATGAAAAAAATAAAACAAAAGAATAAAAAGAGGGGAAGAGGAACAGAGGAGGAAGGGAAGGAAGAGGATGAGGGAAGCCAGTGGGGGAAGAGGTAGGGAGGGAGGTAGTGAATTGAAAACAAAACAAGACCAAATAAAAAAAGAGATAAAAACAATAGAACCAAAATGGACGATCCATAAGACACGGTCCAAATAAAAAATGAACCTCACAGGACAAAGAAAAGTATGTAAAGGAAAAACAGCTTTTTCAGAGTGGCGTAGGACAGAGTGGAGAACAGAACCAAAACAATGATGAGAAGTGCGAGCGACGGCTGGAGGGTTGGGGGAGGAGGGTTGGGGGAGGCGGGTTGGAGGAGGAGGGTTGGGGGAGGAGGGTTGGGGGAGGAGGGTTGGGGGAGGAGGGTTGGGGGAGTGAAGGAGAGGGGATTATAATAATCAAAAGAGAGAGGAGAGAGGAAGAAGAGGAAAGGGAAACAAGTGCAGAAAGCGGCAGTCATGGTGCCCATGCAGTGAGAGGGGGAGGGTGGAAGGGAGAGAGAGGGAGGGACGGGGGAGAGAGGAGGGACGGGGGGAGAGACGGAGGGATGGGGGAGAGATGGAGGGACGGGGGAGAGATGGAGGATGGGGAGAGAGGAGGACGGGGGGAGAGACGGAGGGAGGGGGAGAGACGGAGGGACGGGGGAGATGGGGTGGGGGAAGGGGGAGGGGGAGAGACGGAGGGAGGGGAAGAGATGGAGGGGGGATGGAGGGACGGAGGGAGGAGGAGGGAGAGAGATGGAGGGCGGGGGGAGAGACGGAGGGAGGGGGAGAGAGGACGGGGGAGGAGTAGGGGGAGAGAGAGGGAGGACGGGGAGAGAGTGGAGGGACGGGGGAGAGATGGGGGACGGTGAGAGGAGAGACGGAGGGACGGGGAGAGAGAGGATGGGGAGTAGGACGGGGAGAGATAGAGGACGGGGAGAGATGGAGGGACGGCAGGGAGAGACGGAGGGATGGGGGAGAGACGGAGGGATGGGGGGAGAGATGGAGGGACGGGGGAGAGATGGAGGGACGGGGGGAGAGACGGAGGGATGGGGGAGAGATGGAGGGACGGGGGAGAGATGGAGGGATGGGGGAGATGGAGGGACGGGGGGAGAGACGGAGGGACGGGGGAGAGATGGGGGAGATAGAGGGACGGGGGAGAGATAGAGGGACGGGGGAGAGATGGAGGGACGGGGGAGAGATGGAGGGATGGGGGAGAGACGGAGGGATGGGGGAGAGATGGAGGGACGGGGGAGAGATGGAGGGACGGGGGAGAGAGCGGACGGGGTTGGCACTCAGTAGGCCTCTAATGTAGCTTAACTATAAGCATAGAACCAACTTTACTAGACTGACTTAAGAGTTCAATCCTAAACATTAGGCCTAGGTCATACTATAACTATATGACGCCACTTGGAGTGCTAAGCTATATATAGTAAGTAATACAGTCCAACTACTCAAAGAGCAAACCAACCGCTGTTGATACACTGTTTTGTTTGCTTCTGTCTTCATTATCGATTCTCCTCCATTCTGAACCACACAGCCACGTCCTTGGCCTTTACCACATTCATTATTAGAATAACAGGGTACTCAAGAAGTCTAATTCAATACGCTATTTTATTACACCTTAATAGCCCTACTTGCGCATATACAGTACATTTACATGGATATGAGAATTGCCTTTTGATGTGTGTAAATAAATGGTAGTCTATGATTTCTTTATCGCCCTAGTTGTCATGCAGCACAGCGGTGGCTCCATTTGAGGCCTGAGCTCTATGTAGCATCTATAACAGGCTTAAGGCATCAAAGCAGCATGCGTGTCATGTTATGTGTGCTGGCAGCATTCTGTGCCAGGGAGAAACCATAGTGTGAGCTGGGATGGTGGAGGAGTATTAGTAAGCCATAACGTGGTTCAAAGAGCAAACAGAACAGACATAATAGACTTGCTACAAAAAAGGAGGCTATAAAAAAATGAAAGAAACACGATCAATCATAAAGGAGGGGTGGGGAGAGGAGGAGTAGGGTGTTTGTTCTTACCTTCTGCTCAGCCGTGATCTCACCCGCCTGGTCGTCTGGAGGGCAGGGGTGAGAGGCAAAGGGTGCACCCACCACAGAGTCCCCAGCCTCAGACAGTAGAGGCAGGGGGGATGCCCCCTGCACCTGTGCCCTCCCTGGGGGGGTGGTGCCTAGGCTCTCCACCTGCTCCACAAAGGCCTGGAGCTGGGTGTGCAGCGCTCGCAGCCTGCCCGTCAGAGCCTCCACCAGGGGCAGGTCCTGGAGCTCTGAGGGCTGGGCCTGCTGGCTCTTCTCTGGGACACATGGCTCTGCAGCCTCCCCGGAGGAGGAGGAGATCTTGCGGTAGAGGGAGATGGAGGGGCAGTTGAAGTCTGAGGCGGTCAGCAGCTGGATGGCTTTAGAGATGAGGCGTGCCTGGTCCCTCATGGCTAGCAGGGCTTCGTGGTCCTTCAGCCCCAGGGGCACATCACCGTCCAGGGGGACAGGAACCCCAGTGGACGTCTTCTTCTCCCTCTCCTCCAGGGGCTCGTTCTCCCCTCCGATGGGGCCCTCGCGGTGTGCCTTGCTGGGGAGGCACTCGGCTGAGTCCCCTGCCTCTGCGTCGGTCTCCAGGGCGGGCCTGGAGGAGCTGTGGTAGGAGGCCAGGTCGCAGCGCTGCAGGTTGGACAGCAACACACGGTTCTCATACTGGAGCTTCTTCACCTTGCCGCTCAGATCCCCAATCTGGAGCCTGGCGGCCTGAAGCTGCTCCTCCTGGGGGGCCTCTGTGCTGATCAGAGCCCCACCACCATGACCGTCCTCCAGGAGAGAGATGGACGAGGAGTCGTCCTGGTCTGGGTCCGACACCAGCGGCAGCTCTGACTTGTAGCGGTTGATCTCGTTCATCAGCAGCTTGTTCTGCTCCTCCATTTCCAACAGTGAGCGCCGCAGCAGCTCCGCCTCCTCCTCCACAAACTGCAGGTGCCTCTGGAGCTCCATCACGTTCTCCAGACCTCCTCCTCCAGGCCCTCCCATGCCTCCGACCCCCAGGCCTGGTGGCAGCTCCTGGCCCTTCATGTCGTCCATCTCGGCCCGCAGGCCACGGTTCTCCACCTCCAATTCCACAATGCGCCGGCTCAGCAGGTTGGCCTCCTCCTCCACCAGCTTCAGGTGAACTCTGACCTCGGCCTCGCGGGTGTGGGGAGAGTCGTTGACCTCCTCCACGGTGAGAGAGGCATCCACGTCGCCGTACATCGAGCGGTACTTGGCCAGCTCCTCCCGCATTGCCTCGCTGTCTTTGGCCATCTTGGTCAGCTTCTTGCACATGAGCGCTGACTCCTCCTTGGCAAAGTGGAGCTGGCACTTGAGGTCAGAGCTGTCCTCCTGCTGGCCACAGAGAGGCACAGAGACAGGTTGTTAGGAACACTGACAACATACTGACTCATTCACACACACAATGACAAGATATCGCCAGCCTACATATCACAGAGAGAGACAGAGAGAGAAAGATTACGAAGACAAAACAACAAATTAAAAAAGTGAATTGTTTCTTTCTATTAACATAATAGCTTGAACTCATCTGACATCCTCATGGTAACCCCAGCAAATAGTTAGACCAATGCAAAGTTATGGATTTTTTGGGGCAAAGTGGGATAGGTGGATGCAACACTGGGAAGTCACGCACCCTGTATTAAAGTGATATGAAATGTGTGGTAGCTGTGGGCACTTAGGAACATTGGTGTATTTATAACAGACAGAAGCCATTTTGAATATTAAACTCACATTTATTTTGCAGAGGGTATTCAGATTCCCTTCCCATTATTATTTAACCAAGCGACCCAAAATGATCCAGGCCCATTAAATAATACTTTGTGTTATGTAGTTGATTGGTTATAGACTATTTCCCAGAACATTAAACACAGTATGGAGAGGGTTTAAACTATTTACAGTATGTGGCACTCCAATAATAGAATAGTAAGCATTAACCTTATCCCCACAGGAAAGAAAGAGGAGAGAGAGAGACTATTGACCTTTTGTCTTACTTTAATAAGACATCCTCATTATACTAAAAACGCCACATTACCCCCCCCCCCCCCCACACACACACACTGTGTACCACCAGAACCTCAACGAGAGAGAGAGAGAGAGAGACACACACAAACACAAACACAAACAGACCCTACAGAGCCACAGGACAACAACAACAACACAATTAGACCCAACCAAATCATGAGAAAATAAAAAGAGAATTACTTGACACATAGGAAAGAATTAACAAAAAAACAGACCAAACTAGAATGCTATTTGGCCCTAAACAGAGAGTACACAGTGGCAGAATACCTGGCCACTGTGACTGACCCAAACTTAAGAAAAACTTTGACTATGTACAGACTCAGTGAGCATAGCCTTGCTATTGAGAAAGGCTGCTGTAGGCAGACCTGGCTCTCAAGAGAAGACAGGCTATGTGCACACTGCCCACAAAATGAGGTGGAAACTGAGCTGCACTTCCTAACCTCCTGCCAAATGTATGACCATATTAGAGACACATATTTCCCTCAGATTACACAGATCCACAAAGAATTTGAAAACAAACCCAATTTTGATAAACTCCCTTATCTACTTGGTGAAAAACCACAGTGTGCCATCACAGCAGCAATATTTGTGACCGTTGCCACAAGAAAAGGGCAACCAGTGAAGAAAAAACACCATTGTAAATACAACCCATATTTATGTTTATTTATTTTCCCATTTGTACTTTAACTATTTGCACATTGTTACAACACTGTATATAGACATAATATGACATTTGAAATGTCTTTATTCTTTTGGAACTTCTGAGTGTAATGTTTACTGTTAATATTTGTTGTTTATTTCACTTTTGTTTACTATCTACTTCACTTGCTTTGGCAATGTTAACATACGTTTCCCATGACAATAAAGCCCTTAAATTGAATTGAATTGAATTGAGAGCGAGAGAGAGAGCGAGAGAGAGAGAGAGAGAGAGAGAGAGAGAGAGAGAGAGAGAGAGAGAGAGAGAGAGAGAGAGAGAGAGAGAGAGAGATGAATGTGCACAAAGCTTGATCTGCTATTGTCAACCTAGTAAAATGTTGTGCTATCTTGGAAGTCGCGAAAGTGAGAAAAATCAGTTTAACTGTAATACTTTAGCATTGACTTTGGGTTCAATAGCTGAGGTAAGGTGAGAATCTTGAGACAAAATGCTGCAGCTGCAGATAATTATTTTGGTTGATTCATTGGGAAGTCTCTAGGAGATTGTCCTTCTTGCTGTTCAATGTAGGAAAAAAATCTAAGGTCTCTGTAAGTCTGGGTTACCTGGGGAGACGGCTTCTTCTCTGGCTTGTTGTTTGGCCGAGCGCCTCTCTTCTTCAGAGAGTTCTGAAAATAGAAGGAAACACATATAGTGACAATAATTAGTGTCAATCAATCAAAAAATCGAATTAACATATAACTTTAATAAAAACCTTTGTCACAAAGTGCTTTTACAGTAACCCGGCCTAGGCCCTAGACCCCCAAAGAGCAAGCAGCAGCGTATTGGCCAAGGTGTTATACAACCTAATAATAATACCACCATGAGTCTCCAACCCTTCTTCTTTCTCCCCCAGTTTATCATCACCATGGAGATGTTTATCCCCACAGTGACACTGATAGGGGTGTGGAGCTACAGTTGACCGCATTTATACTTTGTAAACGGAGAGGAAGGGGTGGAGAGGGAGAAAGAAGAACAAACAACATTGTAAATACAACTCATATGTATTTATTTTCCCCCTTTGTACTTTATTTGCACATAATATGACATTTGAAATGTCTTTATTCTTTTGGAACTTTTGTGAGTGTAATTACTGTTTTTAATTTTTTTATTGTTTATTTCACTTTTGTTTATTATCTATTTCATTTGCTTTGGCAATGTAAACATATGTTTCCCATGCCAATAAAGCCCTTAAATTGAGATTGAATTGAAAGAAAGAGAAAGCCGAAGAAAGGAAGATAGTAAATAAAGAGACAACAAGAGCAGCGTTGCTAATGATAGCCAGCCCCTCCCCTTGGTCACCTGGGCTTCAGTACACTGAGTTAAATCCTAATAAATCCTAATTCCTACCAGAGTCCAGAGAGACACAAACACACGCACGCACACACACACACACACACACACACACACACACACACACACACACACACAGACAGACGCACTGCAGTACAAGCTTATCTCGCCAAGGTGTTTCCATGGAAACTGGCTACTTTCTCCGCACTGAGCTGGCTGGTGAAAAAAGCAGGGATATCCACAGTCCACTCTGCTGTGTTTTACTAAATCAAGCTAAAAACAAACAAGACCCTGCTACCACAGGACAGTATAGATCCTTTAACACTGTGGACACAGGACTTTACACACACACAACATCCAGAACCAATTCCCCCAGTGGAAAAAGCCAGCTGCAGAGCAGAGTAACTAGATTGGATTTAAAGCGGTGCCGGTTCAGCATGAAGAGCGGCATTCAATCCAATCCTCAGCCCCCATTTTGTGTTTGCTGACAATGTCATGCAGTTTAGCTGGTGGCTGAGAACCTTTTAATGGTGCTAAACTTCACGGTAGAATCAATGGAGAGATAATGGAACTATTGATCCCTGCCACGTATTGACCAACTTTGGGACACTTTTTCGTTTTGACCATTGGTTTCGACAGGCCAGCTGTAACAGTGTTGTCACTGTGACAGGGCAGGCTAACACCATTCTAACACAGAGCTAAACCCCAATCCACACTCATTTACATTTTTTTTACATTTTAGTCATTTAGCAGACGCTCTTATCCAGAGCGACTTACAGGAGCAATTAGGGTTAAGTGCCTTGCTCAAGGGCACATCGACAGATTTTTCACCTAGTCGGCTCGGGGATTAGAACCAGCGACCTTTCGGTTACTGGCACAACGCTCTTAACCACTAAGCTACCTGCCGCCCCACACTCATCATCTATAAAACCCCTTTATGACACAAACATCTCACAACAACACTTTTTTCTGTCCCCTAAACCTATTTTGTTATCTCTAGGGCTGTGGCGGTCATGACATTTTGTCAGCCGGTTATTATCATGCAAAAGTCCGCCGGTAATTGACCGTTAAATAACATAAACACGTTTAGCATCTCTAGGCCTCCAGGCCGCCATCTACATTTTAAAAAGTATAATAAATCAATTTAATATACACCATCACAAAAAAAAGAAGCAATTATTTATTTTAGTCAGGTCTTAAGAAACATGATATGAAGAAAATGTATTTCAGAAGAACATAATATGAGTTGGCCTACTGTATGTTATCTGGCTATGCTCCATGCCATAGGCTGTAGGCTTGTTCATTTAGCTGACAAGATATGCTTATATATGCTTAATAAAGTCCTGTGACATATTATTTTATTTTATATGATTTTATAGTAAGAAGAATATAATTGAACTTAGCTGAATAAAATAGAAAGGATATTTTTCCCGTTCCGGAGCGAGTGCGCATAGTGGCTATGTTGAGGGTAAAAGTGAACATTTGAAACAGGAGTTATTTGGCAACTTTAGTTGTGAATGATACAAACCTTACAATTTTCCACCCAAACTCTGTATGCCATTTTTTACATTTACATTTTAGTCATTTAGCAGACGCTCTTATCCAGAGCGACTTACAGGAGCAATTAGGGTTAAGTGCCTTGCTTAAGGGCACATCGACAGATTTTTCACCTAGGAGGCTCGGGGATTAGAACCAGCGACCTTTCGGTTACTGGCACAACGCTCTTACCCACTACGCTACCTGCCATGGGCTCCCCAACCATGTACCTGCAGCTACAAAAGTGCTTAATTTGGGAAACCAAGTAAAATCTGTTCGGCAACATCGATAGTAACATGTTTTCGCAAAAACTAATCATATTTCACTAAACTGTTGACAGCCCGTCTGCGCACTCGAGAAAGGAATAAAGGAGAGAGAGGAGGAGATGGAAACGCATGGTGGTGAGATATTCTGTATAGCTGAAGGTAATGTGTCACCCAATTAATTATGAAAATATTTAAATTCCCTATTACTAGGCTATTCAAAATCAAATACAAATTCACTAATTGTAGGCTAACTGTAAGCCGCCCTGCACAATCAATGAAACAACAGCATTGCCTAGCTAGGCTATACATTCTCTTCCAGACTCATGGATAGACATTTTGGAGCGTAGCATAAGGTAACCAGTCCATCCAGTATGCATAATAATGCAGTCCACACTCAAAGGCAATTACTTGAATTTGTTTAATTTTGGAGTATAGACTAGACCAATTATGTACCAAAGACATCTTAAATCAGGTTTGTTTTATGTTTTTCTCCCATGCATAATATGCAGTAGGCTATGTATTGTATAACGGAACAATCATCATTTTAATTCCGTTTATTTTTTTCTGGGATTGGGCTCATAAGCCTATGTATATGGAAGTATGGAGGTTTTTAATGAATCATCACGCTGTCCATTTTGTTGTGTTAGGCTTTGAAACAACATCCGCAACAACCATGTTTTACACTGCTGTTGAACTTCTTTCTTCAAATTGATCATCACAGCAAGGTGATTTAAACGTTTTAAAAGTACGATAGCCATACTGTTTTGATGATAAGAGTTTGACGTGATTTTCGATCGCATTTGCATTGATGTCAGAGTGGTTAGAGGGACAATAGAGCTCTGAGTACCAGGCCATTAGGACCTGATGGTAGTTAGCGAGTTGGGTACTACCAAAACATGTCCAGAGTCAATAAAAGGAGATTACCGTGACTCAACGGTAAATTTTACTGCCGTCATGACTCATGACTGCCGGTGTGGCGATAATACGGTCACCCCAATAGCCCTATCTGTATCAAATATCAATCATTTTTACACTCCCCCTCCTCCTTCCCTTCTCCCATCCCACAGTAAAGCTTTCTGGATGCCTCCCAAATGGCACTTAATTCCATATGTAGTGCGCTATGGGCCCTGGTCAAAAGTAGTGATATCGAGGGCACACTCTCAGAAAAAAAGGTGCTATCTAGAACCTAAAAGTGTCCCCATAGGGGAACCCTTTGAAGAACGCTTTTGGTTCCAGGTATAACCATTTTGGGTTCCATGTACAACCCTTTCCACAGAGGGTTCTACATGGAACTCAAAAGGGTTCTACCTGGAACCAAAAAGGGTTATCCTATTGGGACAGTCGAAGAACCCTTTTGGAACCCTTTTTTCTAAGAGTGTAGGGTGCCATTTGGGATGCAGGCTCCCTGCTCTGCAATCTCATGACCCCAAACAAAACCAGACAAAATTCCACCCGCTCTGCCAAGTTGATGTAATCGTCCGGCCCTCTCGGTGCAACAGCTACGTATCATTCAGAACACAAGGCCACTCACACAAACAATGCAGCGCTGACTCAACCTCAGCAAAACCCTGAGGCAATACTGGGACAACGTTAGGGAGATGAGGCTTGAAATTAGGTTTCTGTACACTTTAAAGGGGTTACCGTGAATTTGACATTTCATATTATAGTACACTTACTGTAATATAAGTACGGTATCAAAGAAAATACTGTGTAATGACACACAGTACAATACAGTATACTGTAAAAAAGTAAATGCTACCGTAATCGGAATGAATTCATGAATTCATGGATTAATGAAATTCATTGAGGGGAGGGCTTTGTATTTCACAGTATTTTACTATAATTACAAGGGATTGGTCCAAGCAGGTTTGCTTCTACACTCTAAGAATTAGGGGTTCAACAAGGGTTCTTCTAAGATCCTCAAAGTTCTTTGAAGAACCTTATGGTTCTTGGCACTGAAAATTAAATGGATATCAATCAACAAAGAGGTAAGAATATGTACTGTATGCTATAAGAATATGTTGAAGGCTAGCTGTATTGGGTGCAGATGATAATAATAGGGGAGGGGGGTAGTTAAAAAATTACCCCAAAATGTTCTTCAAAAGGTTATTTGAGGATCCATTAAAAGGGGTTCTTTAAAGAACCATTTTAAAGGGTTCTTCAAAGAACTTATAGTGGTTCCCTCACGGTTTCAATTTGAAGAACCCCTAAAGGATCCTCCAGGAACCTTTTATTTTTTAGCGTGTAGTTAGTGTTTACACATTACAGCATATTAATGAATATTTGTTGTTTTACATCACTTAACAAAGGCTTCAAGACAGGCAGCGACTACAGGGAAAAACAGACCAAAAAGACATGGCAAAATGCTAAACCATTTAAGGTTTAAGACTTCCTGCCACTCCAATCTATCCCCTATACAGTTTAAATTAATGGGTCTCTATAACCACATAGAAGTTAAATTGGTACATAATTCTCAGTATTATCCTCTTACAAGGCATGCCTCAAAATATAATAATAAGCCAGCAACAACAATACCATCCACCCACTAGTGGTCAAAAGGTTTTTAGCGCTCTAAAGATACGGTACGGTACTGTATTCGGTGGAGTGGAATGACAGAGCCATTCAAAATACAGCAATTTTCCCACAATGCACCATCATTTACAATATGCAGTAAAAAGTTTCAGAGTTTTTTTACTGTTGATAATACCTAAAATTACAGTTTTCCGTTACAGTGTATGTAAAATGGTGCCACTCCAGGTCTGCCTGTCTCATGCCTAAACACACCTGCTCAATGCACAGTTAAAGACACACACGCACGTGCACACACACACATACAGAGGTACGTACGCACACACACCCTATCCCCAGCAAAAGAACCAGAGCATTCAAAGGCATGTGTCTGTGCTATCTGATAGCATGGTTCTGTGGCTGTATGTCAACAGGCTGTAACTCTAGTTGTGTGGGCTGGGTAACCTGAAGCCTGGAGGGGGTAAATAGGTAGGATGATCCCTGGCTGGATGTCTCTCTCCTGGGAGAGGGAGGTAGAGACGTGTAAGTCCCCTTAGACATGTGAAATCGCATTTTCACTAGTAAAATAGCTTTTTTCACATGTTGATCTTAAAATTCACACGCAAAACCATATTTTCACATGTATTACATTTAGAGTTCACATGTTAACACCACCTTTTCACATTTTATTTTATTTATTTTATTTCACCTTTATTTAACCAGGTAAGCCAGTTGAGAACAAGTTCTCATTTACAACTGCGACCTGGCCAAGATAAAGCAAAGCAGTGCGATTAAAAACAACAACACAGAGTTACATATGGGGTAAAACAAAACATAAAGTCAAAAAATACAACAGAAAATATATATACAGTGTGTGCAAATGTAGCAAGTTACGGAGGTAAGGCAATAAATAGGCTATAGTGCAAAATAATTACAATAGTATTAACACTGGAATGCTAGATGTGCAAGAGATTATGTGCAAATAGAGATACTGGGGTGCAAAAGAGCAAAATAAATAACAATATAGGGATGAGGTAGTTGGGTGGGCTAATTTCAGATGGGCTGTGTACAGGTGCAGTGATCGGTAAGGTGCTCTGACAACTGATGCTTAAAGTTAGAATAACATGTTTTCACCTCACATGTGAACTGCAGTTTCACATGTGACATTTTCGGTTTCACATGTTAAAAACTTTCATGTGAAAATCGGATATGTAGTTTCACATGTGATTGAATTTCACATGAGCTTGCAATTCCACATGTGAAAGTGAGATTTTCACATGTGGAATTGCAAGCTCATGTGAAATTCAATCACATGTGAAAATCTAATTCGCAGATTAACATAAGAACATTCCACATACGAAAATGTCACTTTCATATTTTCACATGATTGTTTTAGACATGTGAACTTGCAATTCCACATGTGAAAGTGAAAATCTAATTTTCAGTTTCACGTTTAAAAAAATCTCACTTTCACATGTGGAATTGCAAGTTCACATGTGGGGTTTAAAATAATGTTATGGTGTGAAAAGATGGTGTAAACATGTTGCATTAGCAATGTTTCCAACGGTAGAATTAGTGTGACCACATCTAAAAAGCCCAAGACAGGGGAATGATTTTGTGAAAAGTTTGGACACACCTACTCATTCATCAAAACTATGAAATAACACATATGGAATCATGTAGTAACCAAAAAAGTGTTAAACCATTCTAAATATATTTTAGATGTTAGATTATGTGGGAACTCCTTCAAGACTGTTGAGAGAATGCCAAGAGTGTGCAAAGCTGTCATCAAGGCAAAGAGTGGCTACTTTGAAGAATCTCAAATATAAAAAATATTTTGATTTGTTTAGCACTTTTTTGGTTACTACATGATTCCATATGTGTTATTTCATAGTTTTGATGTCTTTACTATTATTCTACAATGTAGAAAATTGTAAAAATAAAGAAAAACCCTGGAATGAGTAGGTGTGTCCAAACTTTTGACTGGTACTGTATATATATTTGTTTTACAAATCGATACTTGGGGTCACAGTATCGATATAATATCTTCAAAAATAATGTTGCGATATGTATAGATTTCACCCGTCACTAGTTATTATATGGTGCAATCCTCTAGTGAGTGAGTTACTTCTATGCCATTAATATTAAGCAAAACCTCTGAAGTCGATAACACAATTCTTAGTATTCCAAACAAAAATATTGATATTGAAAGCAAAACATAAACCCAAAAGTATTGATGGCAAAACAAAATATTGCAAGAAAATAATTCCAAAATGCAAGAACAAATGAATGTAAATGGATAAAAAAGTATAGTTTTCAGTGAAAGAAATGTGTGATAACGGGATTAAATAGAAACACCTCCCTCTTTCCTGCAATTTTCCCTATCTTTGGTTATTACCGTGGCCTTTGCTTTTGCTGCCTTTTTTTCCAGTAGGAAGTTTTCGCACATTCATTCCAGCAATATAGCACCCTGCATCCCACTGTTGGTTTGCCTCTGAAGCTAAGCAGGGTAAGCCCTGGTTGGTCCCTGCATGGGAGACCAGATGTAGCAGAAAGTGGTGAAAAATGCACATGTGGGGAAAAAGATAATTCATATGTGATTTGTTTACAAGAGTGTGTTGAAAAACCATGTGTTTCTTTTGTAAGGGTCTGGCCATCATGCCTGCACACTTAAGCCCAGTACAGCTATGCCTGGCTTGGCCCAATAGTGTAAATCAGGCAACAGTCAGCCTGCCTGGGCCTGACTGGACTTAGGAAATAATGCCTGGTGCAAAGAAAAGAACAGAGACGTTACACAACCTCACGTTCCAGGGCTTGGAAAGATTAACTTGTGTAATGGGCTCAACAATGAATGTTAGGATAGGAACAGACATCATCACAACACTAATGTGGGTTTACTGGATTTTATGGACATCTGATGGCTTTGTTATGTGTGTGTGTGTGTGTGTGTGTGTGTGTGTGTGTGTGTGTGTGTGTGTGTGTGTGTGTGTGTGAGGGTGGGGGGGCAGGAGTTTGATCCACACACACATACAGATGTAGGATCCTAATTTCAGCCAGTTTGGTACAGCAAGAAAATAATCCTGCAGCAACAGGAAATGTGAATTAATATGTGGATTATAATAAATATTTAAAAAAAATTAAGAATATACAACTTTTTAGTAAGGGAGAATCAAGTCTGACATTTCAAAGTAGAAATTACAAACTTCAGAAGCCCTTTTAAACCTCAAATACACTACACATTTTACATTTCCTGCAACAGTGTGTGCGCACATGTAAGCACGCACACAAACACAAGTCTGTGGAGGCGAGGGGCCCTTAGCATCAAAGGAGGATGCTCTAGTGAGCACGCTCAGTCCCTCCCATCACCATGGCTTTAGTGGCACTTCGGTAACAAAGACAAACATCCCAACTATTGCATAACCAGGGTGTGTGTGTATGTGTGAGGGGAGATAGATAATTGCCCATAGTGGACCAAGTATCTCTCTCACAGTGTGACTGTGGCTCTGTTCTGCTCTACTCCACTATAGTGCCAGACAGCACAGTGACTTTAACATCAACTCAGCTAATTGACTAGACTCAACAGCACAGCATTCCAATTTTCTTTCTCTCTCTCTCTCTTTCTGCCCTTCCTTTGTTCCTTTGTGTGCCATATCTAAATCATTGCAGGGGAGTGAGAAAGGAGTGAGAAAAACAGAGGAAGAGAGAGGAGTGGAGGTGTGGGAGACAGGTAAGGAAGGAGGAGTGGGAGAGAGTAAGAGAGAGAGGGTGAGAGTGTGGGCTAGCGATATGCTGACTAGTTTATAATGGAGAGTAATAGTGTACAACAGTGGAGGCTGCTGAGGGGAGGACGGCTCATAATAATGTCTGGAACGGAGTCAATGGAATGGCCATCACACAATATGGCTTTATCATATTACTACACCATTCAATACAGCGGAAGCATGAAACAAAGAGAGTAATAAAAGTGTAATAAAATTTGAAATATGAATATCCAATCAGTAGGATTATTAAAAACCAATCGATGCTATTCTAGTCGTAACATCAAATGGTGTTATTGCAGTAGCAGAGGAGGCGCTTTCTAAATTCAATTAGATCTGTTTCTATCTGCACTCCAAAGTGGGAAGTGAAGTAGAATAGTATATTTGCATGACTGCTGTAGCAGAGCTGCAGGTAATGTGAGTGGAGATGACAACAACACCAGACAATACACTCCCCACTTTGCTTTTGCTCTAATCCACAGAACAATCAATGGTGTTCAGATCAACCCAAGTTTGAGATCCAGTGGGGGGAGATATGTCTCTTTGTTACCAAACTCACTGCTGCTCACTTTTAGACATTGTAGGAAGGCTGTGGGAAAGAAGGCTGTGGTTGATTGGTTGGTCCGACCCTGTGTATGCACTGGTTAAAATGTTTCTGAAAGCTTGTTATTAATATGATTCGTCAACTTCAAGCAGAGCAAACATAGAGTCATGTGTGAAATATGTGTGTGTGTTTCTGTCTGTTGGTGTGTCAATCTGTGTGTAGTATTAGAGTTTAGGGAATGGGAGGCATGGAGTCTGTGCAACAATGAGTTGAGGAGAGACAGAGGGGGGTGGGAGGGAGGGAGGAGGGGTCTGTAGACGTCCTCTAAAGCCTGTCAGCATAGCACAATCCAGGGGGACAGACAGCCTAAACACCAGCCACCAGCCACCTCTCTGTCTCAATCCCTCCTCTCCTCTCCTCTCCTCTCCTCTCCTCTCCTCTCCTCTCCTCTCCTCTCCTCTCCTCTCCTCTCCTCTCCTCTCCTCTCCTCTCCTCTCCTCTCCTCAGGCTCCTATTGTCCCTTTACGGCACTCACAATGGACCAGCACCAAAACCCCAAAGCCCAAATCTCCAGAATCCAGAATCCAGAGTCCAGAATATAAATATACTGTATATACATATAATGGTGTGTATAGACAGTACGGACAGTATAGGAATAGAAATTGTGTGTACAGCAGTATGGGATGAGCCATGACTAGAATACAGTATATACATATAAAGTGGGTAAAACAGTATGTAAACATTATTAAAGTGACCAGTGTTCAATGACTCTATGTACATAGGGCAGCAGTCTCTAACGTGCAGGGTAAAGAATTGGTGGTAGCCGGCTAGTAACAGTGACTAAGGTTTAGGGCAGGGTACTGGGCGTGGTGACTGTTTAACAGTCTGATGGCCTGGAGATAGCCGTGGCTGGCTGAGGTCCTTGATGATCTTCTTGGCCTTCCTGTGACACCGGGTGCTGTAGATGTCCTGGAGGGCAGGCAGTGTGCCTCCGGTGATGCGTTGGGCTGACTGCACCACCCTCTGGGGAGCCCTGCGGTTGCGGACAGTGCAAAAGCTTTTGACCCTCTCCACTGCGGTCCCCCGTCAATGTGGATGGGGGTGTGCTCTCATTGCTGTCTCCTGTAGTCCACTATCAGCTCCTTCGTTTTGTTGACGTTGAGGGAGAGGTTATTTTCCTGGCACCACTCTGCCAGGGCACTCACCTCCTCCCTGTAGGCTGTCTCGTCTATGTTGGTGATCAGGTCTTGCACTGTTGTGTCATCAGCAAACTTGATGATTGAGTTGGAGACGTGCATGGCCACGCAGTCATGGGTGAACAGGGAGTAGAAGAGGGGGCTGAGCGCGCACCCCTGTGGGACGCCCTTGTTGAGGTTCAGCGTGGCGGAGGATGTTGTTGTCTATCTTCACCACTTGGGGTCGGCCCGTCAGGAAGTCCAGGACCCAATTGCACAGGCAGGGGTTCAGACCCAGGGCCCTGAGCTTAGTGATGAGTTTGGAGGGCACTATGGTGTTGAAGGCTGAGCTGTAGTCGATGAAGAGCATTCTTACATAGGTATTTATCTTGTCCAGCTGGGATAGGGAAGTGTGTAGTGCAATGGCGATTGCGTCGTCCGTGGATCTGTTGGGGCAATATGCGAATTGTAGTAGGGTCTAGGGCAGGGGTATTCAACTCTTACCCTACGAGGTCCAAAGCCTGCTGGTTTTCTGTTCTACCTGATAATTAATTGCACACACCTGGTGTCCCAGGTCTAAATCAGTCCCTGATTAGAGGGAAACAATAAAAAAATGGAACTGGTCAAAGATTTGAGTTGGAGGGGTCTAGGGTGTCAGGTAAGGTGGAGATGATATGGTCCTTTACTTGCCTCTCAAAACACTTAATGATGACAGACGTGAGTACTACAGGGCAATAGTCATTAAGTCACAAGACCCTATTCCCACTACTAGAGATTAAGGAGAGTCTGAGAAGTGGAGTGGCGAAAGACATTCCTACATTTCAATTCACAACGCAACATTCTTAGTTCGCAGCTCAAATGAAAGTGAATATCACAGTAGCCACTAGCCAAACTATTTAACAATCCGAGCAACTTTTCTTCTAAAACATATTACAATATTTAATAATGCAACCAAACCATATTACACTCCTGAACAATGCAACAATCCACAAGCATGTGCAGACAATTAAAGGCTTTATTTTCTTGTCCATACACAATATATTAGCAGAACGCACACAGCTAACTCCTGCTAGCTATATATTATAATATAGGCTACACAGCTAGATAACATTAGCTAGCTACACAAAATGTGACCCGTTTCAGAAATCTGGGCAAGATCCATTGGATTTACTCATATTTTCATGATGGACAACATGCAAAGTGTAGCTACAGTTTTTAATAACAGTGTTGTCCTGAATACAGCTGCTGGTATCGACACAGCTCTGTCTTCTTTCGAAAAAGCAGTCTGGACTGGTTGAAGCCGAGTGGGAAGGATTATTTTAAGTGTTTCAGTCTGCCGTGGATCATCATAATCCATACACAGGTAAGAGTCTACAGTTAAAATGCCAAGATAGCTACATGTACTGTACATACATTATTGTCTCAACTGTCTCAAAAAGTTGTTTTCATTGCTAGCTATTGTTAGCTATATAGCTAACTAGCTATACAGTTGCATACAAGTAACGTTATAGCCAGCTAGCTAGCAGAGCTGGCCAGTTGCATTCTGCAGTTAATGTTGATTGCTGATGTACTAAGCCATGGATGACGATAATCTTTTTCCATGTTCGTCAGTTTGTCATGTTTAACTAGCTAGCTACCAAAAATAGCCACTATGGTGCGAATGCTAATTGATTAGCAAGCTAATCAAACCCCATGTTAAGTGATAGGGACACATGTTAAATTGGCAAGCTAGCTAGCCACAATGAAATGATAGCTAAATAGTTAGCTATTGGATTATAGGTTTTGTGGTCGTTTTTTTGCATTTTCAACTAGCTGGCTAACTAGATGAATACCATTTACATCTAGCCAGTTGGTAATTATAAAGCTAAATCTAGCTAGTTATCTTGAAGTGTCTGCATTGCCATTGCTGGAAGCAGGTTGAGTGTATACAGGGCATTTAAGTACAGCTGTAGCAGTCAACCAGCAATAGCATGCTAAGGGAGATTAATTAATTCATGTTTTAACCTATTTTACTGGAATTTGTCTTTCAGCATAAACCTGCTCTCCGCCACCAGTTAAAGGAGATGATCAAGGTTAGCAGTGTAAAATCAAATTTTAAGAACATACATTTTAGAAATGGGCGGGATTTATGACAGTGGCTGTGGTAACTAGTGACGACCCTGGACCTCGGTGGCGGCTCAGTGCAGTCAAGCAAAAATAAAAATACACCATTGAGATTTAATGTAATGGTGACAATTTCAGAATGTAACAGGCTGCTACTACAATTTCAGGTAAAAACTCAATAAAACAAGTCTAAAAAATAAGGAAAATGTCTGTACATTTCAGCTGTTTCAAAAACATTGCTATGCTATTACAATTTTTACTGTAAAGAGTGTTGGCTCAACGAGACAATTCTGTTTACACTGCCTTGCTTAGAGGTGGGCAATTGTCGGGCGTGTGTCGTGCGGTCAAGTAGTGACAAGTTTGCAAGTTTACATTGCAGTATATGTGTAGGCAAGGGTATTTTTGCGTAAAGTCTAGTAAGTGTGAAGAACCTCTAAGAAAGGAGCTCTGCAGGTGTAGAGAGAGAGATCTAGCAAAGGCACAGGGATATATGCAGGGTGACAAATGAGAGAGGGAGAAGTGGGGGAGATAAAAGCCAATCTGCATAGGAAAAGAGAGTAAGAGCGAGAGAGAGTGAGAGAGAGGGAAGGGGGAAGGAAGAGAGAAATAGAGGAGGGAGATGTATAAGAATGAGTATGTAATTTCCCACACTACAGCGAACGTTCGATTCAGAGATTGGGGGGATGAATGTGTCGTCCATTATCCCATCACCTCCACCGCAGACCTTAATGGGTTCCCATGACAACCGCTTATGCACTTCCTCGTTCAGTTTCTGACAGTGGAAGCCAACAAAACAAATTGGTGAAAGTGGAGGATAGGAGGGAAAAAACATGGAGGACAGGAAATGCAGACCCTTGAAATCCCTATTGACATGAGATAGCTCCACTCTTCAAAAACCAACGGAAATAATGATAAACGCAAGAACACCCCCTCCTGCCCTCTCTTTTACGCCCTGATGCATCTATACATCGAACTGGAAATTAGAGGATGGCATTAGAAATGATTTTACTATTAAAATAATATCATTAAAAAAATGGATATCCGGATAGTTGAAATTCAAAAAAAGAACAAATGTGCTCTTGAGTCTCTCGACCATACAATGACCCAAATGCACATGGCAGAGGTTTCTCAGGTAGTTTGGCTAACAGCAACAGCGAAAGAGAAGTCTGATTTTCACCATGATAGAACTGATTCTGTTACAAAAAGGTTTTCTGGTAGTATTTTGCTGGAGTATTTTGCATTGATCTGTGTCAGGTCTTGTGGGAACTCCGCTAGGTGAGCACCTGTAATTGCTATTTGAAGTGGGGATAATAACAAACCGATGTCAGGCCAGCCTGTAGGGCTCGATGCGCAGCAGACGCTCAATGCACTGTTATAAAAACTACATTCAAATGTTTGTTTTATTACATTAAATTTCAAATGTCATGGTATATCCTTGTCATGGTATAAAAATGTATGTTAATTTAGACAAAGCTTTTTCATTGTATGTTTTTTTTTTTCTAAACACACTCAAGTAACAGAATACTAACGTCCTTTCGGATATCTGGATATTTGATTAACCGTGCCAATCCCTACTGGAAATGTGATTATTTGCATATGGATTACTCAGAGGGGTTTACATGCACATACGTTATTGCACAAACTATATTTTCCAATGTTGTATTTACCAGTACACTATACACATAGGCCTGACAGATATACAAATACGCATATTGAAAGTCTGTTCTGTATATCCAGACAATATAAAATCATTGAGGCAGGACCTGGTCACCTGTCCTTCACTTCATCTCTCCATCCACCCATCCCTCACCCCATTCTATTCAGCATATCTTGGCTTTACTGTACATGCAGGGCCGGCCTTGTGCATAAGCGACATAGGCATTTTTTTGGGGGGGGACTCAGTCGGGGTCTCAACTGTTGAGCGTTAGAATAGTAGAATACAAAAAGGCGTAATTTCTAAATTTGGTTGTGCATCAGCAGTTTTCCACTTGTTATGCCAGTCAATGCCAGTCACTCAATTAGCCCATGTCAGCAAAAATAATGTAGATGAGTCTATCTAAACTTTTTGTAATCATGGCCGAATTCCCGACCGGGCACGAAGAGCACGTGCCCAGGGGGCCCCCATTGATTTTGTTAGTCACTCTCACAGTACCATATTAACATGACATACAGTACCAGTCAAACGTTTGGACACACCTACTCATTCAAGGGTTTTCCTTTATTTATTACTATTTTCTACATTGTAGAATAATAGTGAAGACATCAAAACTATGAAATAACACATATGGAATCAGGTAGTAACCAAAAAAGTGTTAAACAAATCAAGATATATTTTATATTTGAGATTTTTCAAAGTAGCCACCCTTTGCCTTGATGACAGCTTTGCACACTCTTGGCATTCTCTCTACCAGCTTCATGAGGTAGTTACCTGGAATGCATTTCAATTAACAGGTGTGCCTTGTTAAAAGTTAATTTGTGGAATTTCTTTCCTTCTTAATGCGTTTCAGCCAATCAGTTGTGTTGTGACAAGGTAGGGGTGGTATACAGAAGATAGCCCTATTTGGTAAAATACCAAGTCCATATTATGGCAAGAACAGCTCAAATAAGCAAAGAGAAACAACAGTCCATCATTACTTTAAGACATGAAGGTCAGTCAATCCTGAACATTTTCTTCAAGTGCAGTCGCAAAGATCATCAAGCGCTATGATGAAATTGTCTCTCATGAGGACCGCCACAGGACAGGAAGACCCAGAGTTACCTCTGCTGCAGAGGAAAAGTTCATTAGAGTTACCAGCCTCAGAAATTGCAGCCCAAATAAATGCTTCACAGAGTTCAAGTAACAGACACATCTCAACATCAACTGTTCAGAGGAGATTGCGTGAATCAGGCCTTCATATCGAATTGCTGCAAAGAAACCACTACTAAAGGACACCAATAAGAAGAAGAGACTTGCTTGGGCCAAGAAACACGAGCATTGGACATTAGACCGGTGGAAATGTGTCCTTTGGTCTGATGACCGCCGTGTCTTTGTGAGACTCAGAGTAGGTGAACGGATGATCTGGTTCCCACTGTGGAGGAGGAGGTGTGATGGTGTGGGGGTGCTTTGCTGGTGACACTGTCTGTGATTTATTTAGAATTCAAGGCACACTTAACCAGCCATAGCTACCACAGCCATTCCTGCAGATATATCGCATCCCAGCGGTTTGCGCTTAGTGGGACTATATCTTTACCTTTTAGTATTTAGCAACGCTCTTATCAGAGCGATTACTTAGTGGTGCATCATTTTCATACGGCCCCCGTGGGAATCGAACCCACACCCGGCGTTTGCTGCTCTCCACTGATCAACAGGAGGTATCACGGACAATGACCCAACACACCTCCAGGCTCTGTAAGGGCTATTTAACCAAGAAGGAGAGTGATGGAGTGCTGCATCAGATGACCTGGCCTCCACAATCCCCCGACCTCAACCCAATTGAGATAGTTTGGGATGAGTTGGACAGCAGAGTGAAGGAAAAGCAGCCAACAAGAGCTCAGCATATGTTGGAACTCCTTCAAGACTGTTGGAAAAGCATTCCAGGTGAAGCTGGTTGAGAGAATGCCAAGCGTGTGCAAAGCTGTCATCAAGGCAAAGGGTGGCTACTTTGAAGAATCTCAAATCTAAAATATATTTTGATTTGTTTAACACTTTTTTGTTTACTACATGATTCCATATGTGTTATTTCATACTTTTGATGTCATCACTATTATTCTACAATGTAGAAAATAGTACAAATAAAGAAAAACCCTTGAATGAGTAGGTGTGTCCAAACTTTTGACTGGTACTGTAAGTCATGGCAAAATGTGTAGAATTTCAGGAAATTAGCTTTAAAACGTGAAACAAATTCTCTCCGCCCCATGGCAAAATGAATAAAATTGCATGAAATTAGCTATAAAATTGCAAAAATGTATGTCCGCCCCATGGCAAAACGTGTAAAATGTCATTAAACGTGCTTTAAAACTGCAACATTTTCTCTACGCCCCATGGAAAATGTGTAGAATTGCAGGAAAGGAACTTTAAAACTTTAAATGTTTCTCTCCGCCGTCCAGAGGGGGGCCACTAAAATGTTTTGCCTAGGGCCCCCAAAAGGCTAGGGGCGGCCCTGTGTACATGTCCATTGTCTTCACAAGGAGTGAGCAGAATGGCCAGCTCCTGAATGCCTGATCCCTGCTGCAGGCAACTCTCCCGCCTCCTCCTTCTCTTTCCCTCTCCTCCCCCTCTCTTGCTCTCTCACTCTTACCACGGAATCACAGCACACACACACACGCACACACACCATCCCAAACAAACACAGACCCTGTTACAACCCTAAAAATAGTCCCCCATCTTTGACAACAGAGCCCCCTCGCCCCTCTGTAGCCGTCTCCCACACCACCCACGTAGAGCAGCAGTGACACCTTCCATCATATGTCTCTGTGACTAGGAGAGAGAGGAGCAGTGTTTATGACAAGGTGATTGGACTTCTTGTAATTAGCGCTGTGAAACACTGTTATAATGGTGCTTTGGGGCATATCGGGATTGGGTGGCCAGATGGGGGGAGTTCTTTCTGAGCCTGAGGGGACACAGCATGTTGACTGGCTATATCAGTTTAGATAAAGAGTCGACTCCAGAGTGCAGAGGAGAGGAGGTCATTTCTAGGTCGTGATACAAGGACGTTGAACGGTGGACGTTGTGTCTTTGGTTGTCTCACATTGACCAAGTCACGGTCACAATAACACTTTGCAAATTGGCCCATTAGAATCCATGCACCGTTATCCCTCCATCCGACCACCCTTTAGATGAGTGTCACAAACAGCCACACAAAGACTAGGATCCAACCCAGCTGAGCTCCCGACGTCCACCCTTTCATCTCTACCTTTAATGTGCTGAAGCCAACGTCACTTCTAGGTGAGGTCCCAAATGGCACCCTATTCTCTATGGGCCCTGGTCTAAAATAGTGCCCTATATAGGGATTAGGGTGCCATTTGGGACCAACCCCTAGGATTGACTTGTCCTGCCCTGACTGCCATTTAACTACCAGTAACGCCCCAAATGTAAGGGATTTGACTGTTTGTCTACTGAAATTAAACATCACACGAATCTCTCTGAAATCTCTTTTCATCAAACACTTTCCTGGAGACATGACTTGTGTAATCGAGGCAATCTCCCCTTTCTGACAGGACATCAACATTGAAATGGGAAATTGATTAAACATAACCTTAATGCAATTGTGTCTCTCATGGCACATTTCTGTTATGACCTTGTGTAATTGCTCTACGCTCGCCTCTAACGCAGGTGAGGCTTACACTGTACACTCCCACACAGAGAGGGTGAAGAGAGAGAGACATAGACAGAGACAAAGAGAGACACACACAGGGAGAAAGAGAGAGAGAAAGAGACAGAGAAAGTGAGAGAGAGAGATGGAATGATTGAAATGACAAATCATAAATAAGTAACAAAAGAAAACAAAGCCATCTGCATGTGCTCCTCCAAAGACACACCGGGCCCACCTGCAGTAAAAACATGGTTAATTACACACAGGTGTGGGCCAATTATATTTACCCACCAAAACATGTTTCTCATTATTCTAACCAAAATGGCCGCCACCGAGACAATACAGACTGTAGCTGTGTTCGAATACCCATACTAACATACTGTATACTACATACTTAATGAGTATATACTTCATACTATATACTATTAGTATACTGTAAACGAACGGTATCCTTTCAGTTGAGCATACTAGCGCTACGCCTGTCTACCGGAAGTTGACGCTGTTACTATGCAACCTCTTGCTAGCTTGTTAGCAAAACAAATGACTAGCTAGACATTTTACGACTTTGGGTGTGTTCGTAAATTCAATCTGGAGTGCAAGAGTGCGCTCTGGGCATTCGTAAATTCAGAGTGTTGGCAGATTGTCCGTTTGTATATTCACAGTGTTTCCCTCTCTGAGTGTTCAGAGTGTATACTGGACGCTCTGAGGAGTAGGGGTTGATCCGAGAGTTCTGACCATCACAACCACAGTCAAGCACACAAGCTAACTGGCTAGCTACTTCCAGACACAAATGAGAGAACACCTCATTCTGACCATTTTACTCGCCCTAGCAGAGCTGGTTAGGCTGTTTTCATGTTATCCAGAGGGTTGGTAACTGTAACTGTGCTGCTGGCAACAATTTAATTACGCTTTTTTGTGTTGAGTTATCAGTTATTCTGCGCTCTCTGGCACACTCAGACGAGAGTGCTCTGAAATCGGAGTAGATAGCCAGCGCGAATGTATGTCCATTGAGAACGCACAACGACTATTCCACTTAGCTAAGCATGACGTGAATAATCAAGTCAATAAACGTTGGGTAGTTAGTTAGATAGCATTTAGTTAATATACTGGCAAGTTCAATGTATTAGTTGCTAACTAACTTTAGGTAGCTAACTAACATACCGGTACCTACTGCTGTAATGATATGCTATGCGGTTCGTAAGGATAGTGTAGCCAACAAATTGTCGGCCAACATAACGTGTAGCGTAACTTATTTGAAAAGTCATTCCTTTATTACATTCCTCAACATTTTCTTAACATTTGTCATAATTAGTTAAACCAATGAATTTGTATCCGCTGTCGTCAGACTTCGGCTGCATATTTTCCGCCATTTTCTTCAAATCTGAAAACGTTGTGAAGCCAAGCACATTTTCGGAAGAATTGCATTATGGGCCCTAAAAGCACGGAAATAGTGTCCACTGCTTGTATACTTCGTATTTTGGCGAATGTAGTACGATATCCAGGAACTTTTGGAATACTAACACTATCCATACTATGACCAATAAGCATACTACATACTCAATTTCCGTCACAAATATTATGGTTAGTGCTGTTAGTATGAGTATTAGAACACAGCTTGTGTCCCCCTGCTGTAAGGATGGGCAACACCAGTTCTCAGGGGCCTGATTGGTGTCACACTTTTGCCCCAGCCCCAGCTATCACACCTGACTCCAATAATCAACTAATCATCCTCTTCAGTTTAGAACGCAATTAGTTGAATTAGCTGTGTTTGCTAGGGATGTGAAAAAAGTGTGCCACCACTCCGGCCCCCGAGGACTTGAGTTGCCCATCCCTGCTCTGATGGAACTACAGGGAAACATACATCTGATACCATTGTTATGATGGGGAGTGAGAAAACAAAAAATATGTCAGGCCTGACATTACACATTTATGACACATAAACACAGGCAGTGTAAGGGCTATTTGACCAAGGAGAGTGATGGAGTGCTGCATCAGATGACCTGGCCTCCACAATCCCCCGACCTCAACCCAACTGAGATGGTTTGGGATGAGTTGGACCGCAGAGTGAAGATAAAGCAGCCAACAAGTGCTCAGCATATGTGGGAACTCCTTCAAGACTGTTGGAAAAGCATTCCTCATGAAGCTGGTTGAGAGAATGCCAAGAGTGTGCAAAGCTGTCATCAAGGCAAAGGGTGGCTACTTTGAAGAATCTCAAATATAAAATATATTTTCATTTTTTTTGGGTTACTACATGATTCCATGTAGAAAATAGTAAAAATAAAGAAAAACCCTGGAATGAGTAGGTGTGTCCAAACTTTTGACTGGTACTGTATATGTTTAAGAGTTTCTCCTACTGGCCCTCCAACACCACTTCCAGCAGCAGCTGGTCTCCCATCCAGGGACCAACCATGACCAACCCTGCTTAGCTTCAGAGGCAAGCCAGCAGTGGAATGCTGGCATTACTAGGCCACTCAGCTCAGAGCAGAATGTAGGCAATTAGATATTTCATTTCAGAGTGGCGGGCACTGGGTAGTGTGGAGAGGTTCTCTCTCTCAATCTGTTTCTCTCTCTCTCTATCGCCCCATCTCTCTTGACTGGGATGAGAGATAGTAAAATAAGTCAAATCAGGCTTCAAAGTCAAATCAGAACTGGGAGGCCAGTTTGACCCAGTTAACAGCCCTCCTCCCTCCCTGTCTCCCTCCCCCACCTGGCACCTCGCCTGCTTTGTGATGTGTGTTTAACAGAGCTATCCATCGAATGCCTGTCTGCCTTTACTGTCTATTAAGAGTTACTGAGGACGAAAGGCAGAAGGAGACTAATACAGTATATATCCCAATATCTTCTCTTCTCTTCTCTCCTCTTCTCTCCTCTGCTCCATTCTCTTCCATTCTCCACTCCTTTCAACTGAATTCAATTAAGGAGCATGTGCCTCTTTCTCCCCTGCTCTCGCTCGTTAAGAGAATCTGGAGCACCTGACGCACATTAAGCCGTCAGTTAGCTGGTCGCTAACGGAGACAGACGCTCAGCTGAAGGAGAAGGGGCGCGACAGTCCCCTGCATTCCTCTCATAGCTCACCTCATTTCTTCATTAAGCCTTCTACACAACAACAATAACAACAGTGGCAACATGGCCTTCTCCCAGTTCTATCCAGACTGAAGAAAGATGCATGAGGCAAATGGAATGGATTCAGTTTCAATCTATAAGAGATGTCTGATTGTATCTTGGGGCATGCTGTTCAAGAGGGAAAGCTTTTTGTTAGGCTTTTTTTTTGTCAAGTTGGCAGGTGCACACTTAACACATAAAGACACACAGACACACACAAACTCATGCACGCACGCACACGCACATGCAAACACATGCACACATACACACAGAGACCCCCCTACCCACACACACCCACACAGACACACACATACACTCTCCCACACAAACTCACACCAATCATCCTCTTTTGACTAAACCCCTCACACCCTCAGTACAGAGGGGCTGCCAGCCAATTTCTTTTCCTTTCTGCCACAAAATGAGTTTGGAGAGCTCTCCATCCCCCAGAGAGCCCTGAGAGAGATGAGCACTGAACACTACGCTGCCCTGATAAAATCACTGGGAGGAGAAGTATATACATTTATATAATCCACGTCCTGTGTGACAGCTAGACAACTATCTACGTGCTCTCATAACCAAGCAGGACCAAACAGGAGCACTGAGGCTGAAACTGGCCATCAGCCCATCCAGAGCTGTAGTGGTGGTGGTTATATAGAGGTATAGAAGGAGGAGGACGGGATTTGGGCCTTTCAATGGTGAAATAAAGAGAGAGATGAATACCCAGCTGGTATGGACTAAATATAACCAACAGTCATCACACTTCAGAAGACAGATTCACTCCTATGTTGTGATGCTTTGTCCAGTCAGTCCGATCTATATAGCACTACTGATCATCTCACGAGCCATGTACATGAATGTCATGAATGTCAAGAGAGACTACATTACCACTTTGTGTGTTTAATTGCAGTCTTACAAGCATTTCACTACACCCGCAATAACATCCGCTAAATATGTGTATGTGACCAATAAAATGTGATTTGATTTGACTATGCTGATGTTGGCAGTGGCAGAAATAGTAATCAATCTATAGGTGATAATTGATGAGTGCTTCATTTCACAGTGTGCATCCAGCCTTCTCTCTACGGTCTGCGGCTGTCTGGGAGTTAACGGATAATTATCAGAGGAGAGAGATGAGAGAAAAGCGTGTCACAGCACAGGGTAGTGCTCGGCTCTAGGAGAGACAATGCAGGGGTGGGTGTGTACAGTATATCATGCCACTGCAGCATGCTACTGCTGCACACACACACACACACACACACACACACAATCACACACCCATACTAATGCATGCAGGCAGGCAGACACATGCACACACACACACACTCAGAGAAGCCTGCCCAGTCAAGCCCCTGTGTACTCTAAGGAGAGAGAAGATGATAATAACCCAGGAAATGTACTTAGTTGGCCAAACCCAGCTCAGAACACGTTGTAATTGTTTATTGGTCTACACACTGTGGTTTTGATGATCTCACCATGTCCTCTAAAACCACATCAAATTCTGGAGGAGATACAGTTCACTCATTTTTTATGCCTGGGGGCTCATTTTGTATCTAGAAGCCTACCCTCGGCCTCCCGAGTGGCGCAGTGTTCTAAGGCTCTGCATCGCAGTGTTGTGGCGTAACTACAGCCTGGGGTATGATCCCAGGCTGTGTCACAACCGGCCGTGACCGGGAGTCCCATAGGGCGGTGCACAATTGGCCCAGCGTTGTCCGAGTTAGGGGAGGGTTTGGCCGGGGGGCCTTTACTTGGCTCATCGCGCTCTAGCGACTCCTTGTGGCGGACTGGGCGCCTGCAGGCTGACTTCGTCGTCAGTTGAACGGTGTTTCCTCGGACACATTGGTGCGGCTGGCTTCCAGGTTAAGCGAGCGGGTGTTAAGAAGCGCGGCTTGGCGGGTCATGTTTCGGAGGACGCATGGCTCGACCTTTGCCTCTCCCGAGCCCATTGGGGAGTTGCAGAGATGAGACAAGATCGTAATAACAAAAAAGGGGGTAAAAATAAAAAATTCAAAAAAATAGAAGTCTACCCTCCCATGGTTCTCTTCTCGTCATTCTTTTCATCTCTCTCTCTCTCTCTCTCCCCCCTCTCTCTCTTTCTCTCTCTCTCTCTCTACCTCCCGCCATCTCTCAGGCTCTGACAGGTTAGTGTACGGAGCACTAGTAATGGAATCTCTCCACAGAGAGACCAATGAAGATGCAATTTTCCTCATCCAATTGAGCAATCAATCTCACTTCTCATTTGCTCCACTCAGCCCCATCACCCAGCTTAGTAGCCCAGCAGTCTGGAGGAGTGTGACTGGCCTCGAGGACCCATCCCTGGGTAGAGGAGAGCAGGGAGGCAGGGGGGCTGGAAGACTGATCATACTGGACATGGAACAATGCTATGTCAGCTCAGCACACAGCTAGGGTTTATGTAACGATGGTTACGTAAGGAGAGGTGATCCCACCATCTCCGAGTCTGCTGGATAGGACACTCACTAATGGTTCATGACAACGAGACCTAGAAACAAACACACACTCCAAGCAATCACTCACAGTCACCACCAGCAATCACACACAAAGGAATACCAATTCAAATCCTATTTAATTAATTGATCTCTTTTCATAATGAAATTCAATTCAGTTCTATGTCCTTGGTTCAACTTAGGAGTCAAACTCCAATTCTTCAACAGTCAAACTCAAGGATTTGGGACCCTCCGATTCATTATCAATGTCTCGTTCCCTGCCAATTTAATCAGTAATGATCAAAATCCTGCTTTGCTGGTTTAAAATGACCTCATCTGCAAGGCTCTTTGCTGTCCTACTGTCTTAACTGTCTCAACAACACTCAGACCGACAGACAGACAGACAGACACAGAGAGATAGAGAGAGAGAGAAAAACAGAAGCGAGAGAGAAATAGAGAGAGATAGAATGAACTAGAAATAGAGACAGACAGACAGAGATCAAGTTCAAGTGGAGCTCAGCTCCTTCTCAGCCTCCTGATGCAGGCAGACATGTCTGTCTCTTACATAACAGGGTGTTTTTAATACACACATACACACACAAACGCACCCACACACACAAGTGGAGCGGGAGACTCCGGAAGAGTCAAGATCTACTGATTTTCTGTCAGAGAGAGAGACCGGAATGTTCTGACAGGACCTAACGAGGAGAACAGGGAAGACAGAGAACACTTAGAACTAGGTGCTGTAACGGTACACGTATTCGTACCGAACCGTTCGGTACGGGGACCTCGGTTCAGTCCGCACTGTGAACACAAATGAATACATAAACAAAAAAAACTACAACAAAAAACAAACACTAGGCCTATAGGCTATGCCTAAACTGCGTTGTATGCCATTGCCTCGTGAGTAAATCTGAGCTGAAAAAACATTGTTCTGTTAAAACAACTGTAATCAAAATTCTAATCTTAACTGGCGGATTTCAAACTATCCTTTTGTGAGGCGCAGCCGGGAACTGTAGATGGCGAGTGGTGGGGCATGTGGTGGGATCGATAAACCAGAATTGGAGGATCCTCCATCATCTTTTAAATCTCAAGTTTGGGAACAGTTTGGCTTCACAGTCGATTACAACGGGGATGGACAGAGAGTTGTGGATAAAAAGTTAATAGTATGTTCTCCACTACTCGACGAGAATATCACAAGTCGGCCAATCACAAGTCACCAAAGAGCCACTACAGTCATAGAGCCTCAGTGTGAGGCAAAGCAAGTTAGGACATTATCTAATCAAATGAAGATGGAATTAAAATGATGGAATTAAAAGTTTAATGAGAAGTATATGTTAAAACGAACAAGAGCCAACAGGTTGGCTGCTATTTAATAGTCTGCATGGAGGTGTTGTTATTTGTAACTGTAGGACAGGAAGAAAGATAGCTGGCTAGCTATTTTAGCCAACTAGCTTCTCTCGGTTTGATGCAGTCAAGACAGGAACTGCGTAATCATATTGGATGATAAATAACCTAGCTATGACAAGCTAGAAGTTAGTCTACTAGCGCAAGTCGGCTCGGTTGGTTGCTTCCTTCCTCTCCCTCCCTCCTCCTTGCTCCCGTTTCACTCGCTCACAGTACAAACACACCAAGGCCCCTCCTCCGCCTGCTCTCCCTTGCGCTGTATCAGGTCTGGTTAATAAAGTAGCTTACAAATGGACTTTTCTGCTGCTTCCCTTATCGGATCCGACCACGTCTATATGGAACTGGTCGTCCTCGGGTCCGTTCGTAACGGGTCTCGATATTGAAAAATGTATTTATGGATATTTGTGACACGTTTTAGGAAACTAGGCGTATGTCACGCGTCACTACTCCACAGGAGCGCTATTTGAACGTAAACTTTATTTTATTTGATCAAAATGCGTTTTTTGGCAGAAATGCCTTCTGGAACATGTAAACTTGAATGTGCCTTAATAACAAACTTGTATGCCATCTGTAAATACGAATACAATTGTTAAATTACGAGCCTAGTTGGTTTAGCCACGGAAAAATACAGCAACATGATTGGCTGAGATAATGAGTGGGCTGGACATGCCGAGAGATGAGTTCGGATTGGTCTGCCGTGTAACAAGCTTCTGTCTATAATATGAGCTGGTCAGTATGTGTAGGTAATCCTTTCTGACACTGCTTTTTTGAAAGATATCACGTAGTAGAACTGCATAAGTGTTGCTCTACACTTTCTGGAGGTTCGAGTTTTGAAATACGTGGAATTAGAGTATGATAGCTAAGGAGATGGAGAAAATTCTGGCGTTTGATTGCAAATATGCAGACAGAGTCGAAAAGAGAACACACAGAAGGCTGTTGTATAAAACACCTGTCTCCGGATTACATCTTCAAACTAAGGGCAACCATGGCATCCGAGACAGAGAGGAAGAATCCTCCATCCATATATACGGGTAAGAGAGTCTAGCTAGCTACATTTTCAGATATTACACGTTTCTAATTTTGTCAGAAAGTCGTTTTCATTTCAAGTTAAAGTGTACTGTTAGCTAGCTAGCTAACGTTAGCTGGCTGGCTAGCTAGCTAACGTTACGTATATGATCTGTGTAAAAAAACGTAATTAAATTGTTGCCAGCAGCCCAGTTGCAGTCACTACCGCTCTGGATAACATAAAAACAACCTAACCCGCTCTGCATGGCAAGTAAAATGGTCAGAGTGAGCTGTTCTCTAATTTGTGTCTGGAAGTAGCTAGCAAGCTAGCCAACGTCAGCCAATTAGCTTGGGTGCTTGACTGCTGTTGTTAGGTCAGAACGCTCGGATCAACCCTACTCCTCGGCCAGAGCGTCCAGTGTGCGCTCTGAACGCTCCGAGAGCGAAACGCTCGGAATTTACAAACGGACAATCTGACAACGCTCTGAGTTTACGAACGCCCAGAGCACACTCTGGCACTCCAGATTAAATTTACAAACACACCCATAGTATAAGCCAGCCTTTAGTCTTGAAATCTTTGGTTGTTTAGTACATAGCCTCACATGTGGTCCTCTGTAGCTCAACTGGTAGAGCACGGCGCTTGTAACGCCAAGGTAGTGGGTTCAATCCCCGGGACCACCCATACACAAAAATGTATGCACGCATGACTGTAAGTCGCTTTGGATAAAAGCGACTGCTAAATGGCATATTATTATTTTTATTATATGTGAATCGTTAAAGAGATGGGTGGGGCTAAAGCTTAAAAGGGTGTGAACGATGCTGAATGGGTGTAGACAAAGAAGAGCTCTCTGGTAGGTACCAAAACATTCAAGGGCCATTTTCTCGAAAGTGAGGTTACAAGTTTATCCACTTTCAAAGCAGAATTACTTTCCCATTGTTCATCAAGTGTAGTGTATGATACACCATTTTCTAGCTCTGAGTCTCTACTTTTATCCAATGTAAAAAAAAAACATTTAAAATGTTTGTACATAAGACCGAATCGAGCCGGTCGGTCACATTTGTCTGGGTGGGAAAGCCCCAGGTACATTTCAGAACGGGTCCACATTTTTAGACCTCTACTTGAGGCCCAACATAACAATCCCTGTCACAACAGACAATGCCAGGAACATTGTGAATGATGTCACAGAAACTGGATTTGGGCCACAAATAGGGGGCTTTTAAATTTTTCGTATTTTGCCAAAAAACAACAATTAACTAGAGTAACTGTTGGAATTTCATTTTTATGCTGTACCGAAACCGAACCGTGACCCCAAAACCGCAATACATACCGAACCCCGTTACACCCCTACTTAGAACCCTGGAGAACAACTGTGGTTCAAAGTTCCTGATGTGGAACCAGACAGACATACAGTACATGCCGTGATGGAAACCATTGGTGGTGACATTCTGTAGTCACACAACTGCCATTCGTTCAATATACCCATTCTATATGGCAGGCCACATTTTCGGGATAATAAAACGTCCCCACTGTCCTATTATACCATGTTGCTAATATGTCTCTGTTGTTTTCTCTGTTAGGGATCTGTCATAAGCTTATTATAGTCTTTACCATAAGCCTCGCTATAAAACCTATTCCCAATTGAAGTGACTGAGAGGCTAATATGTCTAGCCAAACAGGTGTCTGAGTTTAGGTAGCCATGGCAACCAAGGTCCAAAGCGACAGCATAGCCAGCATAACATGTCATTGGCCTATTCCCATTACCTTGTTGAATATCACAGTAAACACAGGCGCAACTGGCAGCATGTTGATGATGTCACTGCCTTGGTCTGGTAGGAGGATGGGGATTGTGGAGTCGGGGGCCTTATCTGAGCCAGAGCTCTGAATAGACATCTGGTAAAACTATTATTAGTCTTGGGCCAAGGCAGTCGGTTCAGACAGGGTGTGTGGCGGTGGGGGACTTTACAAATGACCTGCCAGGACAGGAGGCCTATCACCCAGTCCAACCTAATCACCGCTCGGTCTGATAGGCTCCGGCCTCCTGGAGAATCCGTATAAATGTGCCAATCATCATAAATCACAGACACATCCCTGCATCTGGGTTTCTTCCCCTGTCAAAATGGCCGACAGGGTCACTTCGGGTCCTCCGATAAGGAAATATGAAAAGGAGCTGCACGTGAGAACGCTCAATGACGATTCCCTTCGGTCGTTTGTTTAGCTGGAAGTAGTATGTTGAGTGAAGTGGCACCTTGCAGCACATATGAAACCCGGGCAACTTATGCCACAGTCTAGTGCGCAGATTATTCTGACATACAGTACCAGTCAAAAGTTTGGACACACCTACTCATTCAAGGGTTTTTCTTTATTTTTACTATTTTCTACATTGTAGAATAATAGTGAAGGCATCAAAGATGAAATAACACATATGGAATCATGTAGTAACCAAAAAAGTGTTAAACAAAACAAAATATATTTTATATTTGAGATTCTTCAAAGTAGCAACCCTTTGCCTTGATGACAGCATTGCACTCTCTTGGCATTCTCTCAACCAGCTTCACCTGGAATGCTTTTCCAACAGTCTTGAAGGAGTTCCCACATTTTCTGAGCACTTGTTGGCTGCTTTTCCTTCACTCTGCGGTCCAACTCATCCCAAACCATCTCAATTGGGTTGAGGTTGGGTGATTGTGGAGGCCAGGTCCTCTGATGCAGCACTCCATCACTCTCCTTCTTGGTCAAATAGCACTTACACAGCCTGGAGGTGTGTTTTGGGTCATTGTCCTGTTGAAAAACAAATGATAGTCCCACTAAGCGCAAACCAGATGGGATGGCGTATCGCTGCAGAATGCTGTGGTAGCCATGCTGGTTAAGTGTGCCTTGAATTCTAAATAAATCACAGACAGTGGCACCAGCAAAGCACCCCCACACCATCACACCTCCTCCTTATTATTGGTGTCCTTTAGTAGTGGTTTCTTTGCAGCTATTTGACCATGAAGGCCTGATTCACGCAGTCTCCTCTGAACAGTTGATGTTGAGATGTGTCTGTTACTTGAACTCTGTGAAGCATTTATTTGGGCTGCAATTTCTGAGGCTGGTAACTCTAATGAACTTTTCCTCTGCAGCAGAGGTAACTCTGGATCTTCCTTTCCTGTGGCGGTCCTCATGAGAGCCAGTTTCATCATAGCGCTTGATGGTCTTTGCGACTGCTCTTGAAGGAATGTTTTACGTTTTTGAAATGTTCCGGATTGACTGACCTTCATGTCTTAAAGTAATGATGGACTGTTGTTTCTCTTTGCTTATTTAAGCTGTTCTTGCCATAATGTGGACTTGGTCTTTTACCAAATTGGGATATCTTCTGTATACCAACCCTACCTTCTCACAACACAACTGATTGGCTCAAACACATTAAGAAGGAAAGAAATTCCACGAATTAACTTTTAACAAGGCACACCTGTTAATTGAAATGCATTCCAGGTGACTACCTCATGAAGCTGGTTGAGAGAATGCCAATGAGTGAGTGTGCAAAGAGAATGAGTGTGCAAAGCTGTCATCAAGGCAAAGGGTGGCTACTTTGAAGAATCTCAAATATAACATATATTTTGATTTGTTTAACACTTTTTTGGTTACTACATGATTCCATATGTGTTATTTCATAGTTTTGATGTGTTCACTATTATTCTACAATGTAGAAAATAGTAAAAATAAAGAAAAACCCTTGAATGAGTAGGTGTGTCCAAACTTTTGACTGGTTCTGTAAGTATGTACAATTCATGTGTAATTCTCTGACCAGGAGCCGTTAAGCAGAACAGATGTACTCTGGAGAGCAATTACTCTTCCCCACTAAGCTTTGGTGAGGAAAGGTAAGGCTATCAATAAAACCGTCTACTGCCTACACCCCCCTTCACACATTTAACATCAACCCCACCTCCCCCTGGCTGTAACATGTTGTTTTCCAGACTACAATGGCTCCCTGAAGACTGCATAGTCCAAATTGAACCTTGTAGTAGACCTCTCCTCCCCACACCTAACGGGTCCCACTGCGTGAGATAATGTGACACTTTAAAAACCTTTTAATGTCTATAAAACAGGAGGAGAGAGAGGGGGGAGAGAGGGGGAGAAAGAGAGCTGTAAAAACAACAACCAACAGATGTTGAGTAGACGTCTGGCTCAGGGGGGTGATGAACAGAGCAGTGGTTTTAGATGTGTCAGTTCTCTCTCTCTCTCTCTCTCTCTCTCTCCTCCCTGCAGACTGGCTCAGGTGTGGATATACTGGCTGGGGATGGAGAGACTAGCAGGGGATGGATATAAAATGCCTTTCATCTAACCTGTCAGGGCTCCAGCGCTCTGCATACACTTTGTCTGCTGCATGTGTTTCTATGTCCACAGTGCTTTCACTCTGTAATGAGGAGGAGAATGCAGGCTATACAGCTTCAGGTCACTGTCTGAGGATCTATCCTTTCCACAGTTGACCTGACTCTTCTCAATTTTCATGTGTATTTTTATTGGAGCATTAAATTACCTTGCAATTCCTCAGGGGGGAAAATATGCATGTGTTTGAAAAATTCAACACAGTTTGCTTGGCTGTGCCTGACTCATACATGAGGAAATGGCCCATGCTGCTCCAAGATTTTACATGGATTTTGTGATGAGTGCATAGTATATGCGTTTATGTTTTAGTGAGATATGTGTGTGTTTTTCTGCAGGTATTTTATGTTCCTCCATGGGGAGCTCTGGTCCTCCAGCAGCTCCTCACACACCTCTGAATGTCTGTTTGTCCCACAGGGTTCATTGTGTGAAGCTTCTTTCTATCGACCCATTAATGCTACTGGGAACATTCCTTTGTCTTCACTGGCCTTCTCTCCCCACCTCTCTTTTTTCTTACTCTCCTGCTTTCTCCTCTCTCTCTATTTTAGTCATTAGGCTAATAAAGGCCTTGGTGTCCTATATTTACATCCTATATAGTACTGCAAGACAGTGATAACATTTGAGTAGTTGCTCTTATCCAGAGCAACTTATAGTAGTGAGTGCATACATTTCTCGTACTGGTACCCGTGGGAATCAAACCCACAACCCTGTTGTTGCGAGCGCCATGCTCTACCAACTGAGCCACACAGGTGATGTCCTGGTCAATCACAATGACCCAGAAAAACAGCATTCTATCCAGTGCCTCCATAACCCATCTGCTTTGATGCCATGATGGCCCATAATAGGTTTGTTTGTCCTTGGCATAGTCCTGGAACACACCCAGCGCAGGGCGGTCCTCATCAGAGACAGACAGCTGGCCAGCTAAATCCTTATTAGGGTGGGAGAGGTTTTGACCAGGGGTAAGCAGCTCTGTTTTTAGAAGGGACAGTTTGAGGGGAGCGGGAAAGAGACAGTCATTATCAGAGAAGGCTCCGTTACAAGCTGGAGGTCTGTAGGTCTGGAGATCTGGAGGTCTGCAGCACGGTGGGACTCAGTTCAGCCCAAACCACTGTGGTTGCAAGCAGCATGGTGAGGAGTTCTAATCAGAGCACACACACACACACAGCGACTGCAGCCCGTTTGGGACAAGTGATCGCCCACAGCGACCTGATTGGTTGCAGGGGCTGAGCGGAGAATCCCAGATTAAACCTGTCAGCTTGGCCCACGGAGGAGAAGCACTCAGGACCCACCTAATGCAGCGGAATAGGTGTGTGTGTGTACTATTGTATGTGTATGTGTGCCCATGGTGAAATACCTGACCCATTTCACTGTAACCTAACTGAATAACACCACCATTGTGTGAGAACTAAAGCGTACCACAGTGGCAAAGTGCCAGAAGATGGAACATTGTCCAAGGTACCAAAGAAAACAATGTTGTCCACTACCCACATAAAAAATATATTACAGTTTACTATAGAATACTACAGTAATTACTATAGAATTATATAGCAAACTGTAGTATACTGTAGAATACTATTCTACACACTGTAGTATCCCTCGATCATGTGTAGTACTTGTTGTTGTATACTGTAAAATACTATAGTAAATACTACAATATTATCCAGAGAAGAAAAGAAACACTGTAGGAAATACTACAGTAATGTACGCAAAAACACTACAGTCCGCAAAACACTACACTATAGTAAATATTAATGTATTTAATTTGCATATACCCTGCCCATTCCCCTCCCCCATAACGCAATTTATGCCACCCATAACTGAGAAACCTACATGCCAAGTATAGACCATATATTGCAGAAGCTCTGAACTATCTATTCAGAACCCAGTTCTACCTAGCTCGACATCCATCCATGTCTGAGGATTTTGGGAGATAACGTGGAAACCAGCCACTAGGGGCAACAGTGAGCGCTATTACCTTCAAGTAGTTTTCAGTTTTACTAGGGTGTTGGGAATGGCGAATGGGCGTAAGCGTCTGCCACTGACTCCAAAGGTTGCAAGTTCAAATCTAGCAGTTGAAAGTTGTTTTTGATTTTTTGGTTTTAAGCCTATCCCAAACCTTAACCCTTACCTTAACCATTCAGAGTTACTGCCAAACCTTAAAAATTCGGAGTTAATGCCTAAACTTAACCTTAAACACTTTGAAATTTGACATTAGGAACAACTTTGACGTTTGAGAAACATGGATGAACTTTTAATTCTGACATGAGACTTTGAGAGCTAGTAGGTCCTACCTACTTACAGGTTATGGAGCATTTGCTCTTTTAGTATTTCTCCAGTAGGTTTCCTGAAGGAGAAAGTCTCCACTTCTATGTCAAAGTTAATGAAACAAAACACTATAGTAAATACTACAGTAATGTCTGTAAAAACACTACAGTAAATACTACAGTATACTAAAGTCCGCAAAAACACAACAGTAAATACTGCAGTATACTACAATCCACAAAAACACTACATGAATTACTATAGTATTTACTACAGTTGTCAGTTACTACAGTATTTATACTATAGTTAACTGTAAATACTACAGTATTATACAGTACACTACAGTAAATACTATAGTAAATACTACAGCATTCACTGTAGTGTTTTTGCTGACTTTAATTCGCAAATACTACAGTAAAGTCAGCAAAAACACTACAGTGAATACTATAGTATTTATACCATAGTATACAATAGTATTTTATTATGTGGGTATTCATCACATGAATACACCCCTCAGCTCTTCTGCATGTTGTAAAGCACTGAATTATCAATGGCTCAAGCCCAGAGCATAATCATTCATTCATTGGGACAGACAACCATGTGACTGATAAGGAAGTAGCTCACGGTCACATGTCCTCCAGGACAAAGGCACTTCCTGAAAGTCATAAATAAAATGGGGGCAAGCTCGGTGTAGTAGTTTCCTTGATAAGTAATGGCAAAATGAGTGGCAGATGCAATACTAAAGGAGTGCATTAGGCCTTGGGATTGACTGCTACAGAGTTCTGTGTCCCCAAGCAGTCCCCACTGCAATCCCACTAAATCACTGGGGTAATGAAAGCCCACAAATACACACACCAGTAAACATAAAACACTGCCCAGTCTGCCCATGACCTCCGAGAGAGAGAGAGAGAGAGAAAAGGTATTATAAAGAGAGAGTGAGAGAGAGAGAGAGAGAGAGGAGAGTACGAGAGAGAGAGAGAGATAGAGAGAGAGAGAAGAGAGAGAGAAAGAGCGAGAGAGAGAGAGAGCGAGCAAGAGAGAGAAAAGAGAAGAGAACATGTGAGGGAGCGACTGGGAATGAAAGTGGGAAGGGGTGGCGAGAAAGAGAAAAATAAAGATAGAGGGAGAACAAGCTTAAGAGAGAGAGAAAGAGGGAGGGAGATAAGTCCTGCTATATTTTTCTTTGCCCTCTCGCCATTGAGGTTTCCACTTAAGGGCGTTATCTTTCCTGACTGCCAGCCCCCTTCGCCAGGACCCCACATACTATAGCCCACCTCTGTCTCCATTCATCTCAGCTGAAGCTGCTACAGGACCCAACCACCCAACCCCCTCCCCTCCCTACCTCAACCCAACCCCCCTCCATCCCTCCCTCCAATCCAGCCTCATCACCTTCAGAGGGTCAAAACAGGACTGGACAGGGAGAGGTGAGGAATGGAGAGGATAAAGAAATGTCTTAATCAGCAGTGTTCTGTCTGTGTTGGAAAGGGGAAGGGTTGCAAGCATTCCCCTTTGTCCATTTGTGTGGAATCACTTATGAAAAATGTAGCTGGTTTACAGAGAGCAATACGCTAGACACAGGCAGCCAAAACCACTCAAATGTATCTAATCTCAGAGAGCTGTCCTTATTTAGCCTCACTGGTGACACTACTTCTAATCCCAACATTTTCCATTGGTTTAGAGGGGTGAATGGCGGATCTATCACAATGCATTTACGTGATGAAACGCTGAGAGCCTACGATGGGTTTTAAACAGATTGTCTTTGGAAGACATATCAGAAATAGTCAGCAGCCAATCTGGATTTAACCTAGGCCTAATGGTTAATGCATCCTAAATATGGACTCAAATGTTACTGCAGCAGCCAATCTGCATTTAACCTAGGCCTAATGGTCAATGCATCCTAAATATGGACTCAAATGTTACTGCAGCAGCCAATCTGGATTTAACCTAGGCCTAATGGTCAATGCATCCTAAATATGGACTCAAATGTTGCTGACCACATCTTTCAACACAACTGAGGTTATTAACATTGCAATGTTTGGGGGAAAGGTCTGATGTTATAGAGTTGGCAGCACAGTATGTCACAGCTTGCCACAAGCTTAGGGAGGAAACATAAAATGTACTATTTTCTCCATGTATTATAAGTAATAGACAATACAAGTACCACCAGTCATTTTTAATTTTGTTTGCTGAATTAGATTCTGAATTGATTGTTATTCAATTATTAAAACTGACCATTATTACATTTCTGTATTGAAACAGAAGATTTTCAGAAAACATGGCAAATACTGCATATTTTCTTTCTGTTTTTTCCTTCCTTCTCACTCTCTCCTCCCTCTACCTGGCCAGCATCATCAGCCCCTCCACTATCCCAGGAGACTGATCATCTAGCAGCACAACCCACTGGTCTAGCCAGGCCCAGCAGCTACCTCAATACCTCAAACCTTCACTTGTGTGTTGCTTGGCTGTTTTTAATACTGTTCTTAACTTATCCTTTTAATCAAAGGAAAAGAACAGTGATGGAGACATTCCTAACTGACTGAGAACAGAGACAGAGTGGGTAGTGAAACAGTGAAGCCAGGGATCGGCAGGCACACATAATAGTTCTGGATCAGAAGGGTGTCAGCTATGCAAAGAATTCTCCCTCTCCATGGGGCAAGCACAACACAGCAGCAGTACCCCACTTAGCATAGCCCGCCAACCACACAGCTAGCCAACCAACCAACCAGCCAGCCTGGCAATGACGGAGTGAGTTAGCATTGCAGCCAACCAGACACCCAGCTACCCAACCAGCTACCAACCAAGCCAGCCAGCCAGCCAGCCCTGCCCCCATTCTGAGAGCTGGGCCAAGACTATGGTCAGTCATCAGTCCCTGCTCTCCTCTCCTCCATAAAGGGACAGCAGGAGAGAAAGGGGCCTCCTTTTGTCCACTCCAGATTAGTCAACACAGGGGGAGGGCCGAGACTGAGAGAAGAGGACATTTGATTTCTCCTGAGAGCATAACTGAGCATAACGCAATATCTGTAGAGAGCAAATAGTGTTTTTAGCAGGAGCATTTATCAGGATAAAAAGACTTGCACAAAGCAACTTCCTCCCACGGTTTTCTATTTAACTCTGTCCAGTAAACATACGGCGAGGCCAAATGAAGAAAGGCCAAATATCACATTTGGCTTAAAAGTTAGCAGTCCCTATTTGGGTCCAAACAAAAACACAACCCTCTATCATAAATCTCAAACCGCCCACTTATTTTTTCTAATATAACATATAGGACAATAAAGAATTGATGTACAGTATGAGGTCCCAAACTTTCCATTTACTGAAAATGTAAAAGGTTTTATTCCAAGCCTGGTGAATTTACATGGAACCTTGAAGAAAGCCAAAAAAACAGATCAGCACAGCTAAACCCAGCCTACTTAACCCAGCCTATTCAACACAAGAGTAACCTATAGCCAAACCCAGCTAAACCCAGTCCAGCTCAGCCCAGCTAGACACAGCCAGGATCAACCCAACCAAGCCCAGCCCAGCTAAACCACACCATGTCTTACTTCTCTGGCCTTATCAACACGGCCCAAACATGGTAATCCCAGCTCAGCCCAATCCCACCCCACCCAGCCGTGTACTACATAATGTCTTACCTCTCGTTGCTTCTCCATCTCAGCCTGCAGGACCTGCTTGGCCACCTCAAGGTCCTGGAGCCTGACCCTCAGCTCCTCATTCTCCTGCTCCAGACGGCCCCTCTTCTTCTCCACAGAGTCCAACTCGTTGTGCAGCCGGATGGACACGTCTTTAGCCACCTGACATCCAAAGGAGGAGAGAGAAGACATGAGGGAGGGTGGTCAACATCAGAGGTTCATTGAGAAGCATGATCCACAATTCCATGGTCCAGAGTCATACTAAATGACTTTATGAATGCCCTAAGCCTTTATAAGTTGTATTTTGTTTCCAGTATGAACATATATGCACTGAGTGTACAAAACATTAGGAACACCTTCCTAATATTGAGTTGCACCCCATTTTTCCCTCAAAACAACCTTAATTCGTCGGGGCATAGACTCTACAAGGTGTTGAATGCGTTCCACAGGGATGCTGGCTCATGTTGACTCCAAAGCTTCCCACAGTTGTGTCAAGTTGGCTGGATGGACCATTCTTGATACACACGGGAAACTGTTGAGCGTGAAAAACCCAGCAGCGTTGCAGTTCTTGACATACTCAAACCGCTGCGCCTGGCACCTACTACCATACCCCGTTCAAAGGCACTTAAATATTTTGTCTCACCCATTCACCCTCTGAATGGCACACATACACAATCCATGTCTCAAGGTTTAAATATCCTTCGCTACCCTGTCTCCTCCCCTTCATCTACACTGATGGAAGTGCATTTAACAGGTGGCATCAATAAAGGATCATAGCTTTCACCTGGTCAATCTATATCATGGAAAGATCTGGCGTTCTCAATGTTTTGTACACTCAGTGTATTTGCGTAAGTAATATATGGCTCTCTGCTGATGGTGTATTCAAAGCACAGTAATAAATGCACCATACTGTAGCTTATCATTAATGTGTTCCAGTATTATCATTAATGTGTCCAGTATTATCACTAATGTGTTCCAGTATTATTACAAATGTGTCCAGTATTATCACTAATGTGTTCCAGTATTATTACTAATGTGTTCCAGTATTATCACTAATGTGTTCCAGTATTATTACTAATGAGTTCCAGCATTATCGCTAATGTGTTCCTGTATTATCACTAAGGTGTTCCAGTATTATCGCTAATGTGTTCCAGTATTATCATGAATGTGTTCCAGTATTATCACTAATGTGTTCCAGTATTATCATTAATGTGTGCCAGTATTATCATTAATGTGTTCCAGAATTATCGCTAATGTGTTCCAGTATTATCACTAATTTGTTCCAGTATTATCACTAATGTGTTCCAGTGATACTATCACTAATGTGTTCCAGTATTATCACTAATGTGTTCCAGTATTATCGCTAATGTGTTCCAGTATTAGCATGAATGTGTTCCAGTATTATCAATAATGTGTTCCAGTATTATCATTAATGTGTGCCGGTATTATCATTAATGTGTTCCAGTATTATCGCTAATGTGTTCCAGTATTATCACTAATTTGTTCCAGTATTATCGCTAATGTGTTCTAGTATTATCATTAATGTGTTCCAGTATTATCACGCATGTGTTCCAGTATTATCATTAATGTGTTCCAGTATTATCATTAATATGTTCCAGTATTATCACTAATATGTGTAGGAGTGGAGTAGAGCAGAGACCAGCTCTTACATCATCATGAGTTGACATGTTGCTACAGAACAAGACTGTTATCAAGGCTGATCTTCTTACAGTTAGATATACAGTACCAGTCAAAAGTTTGGACACACCTACTCATTCAAGGGTTTTTCTTAATTTGTATGTAGAATAATAGTGAAGACATCAAAACTATGAAATAACACATATGGAATCATGTAGTAACCAAAAAAGTATTAAACAAATCAAGATATATTTTATATTTGAGATTCTTCAAAGTAGCCACCCTTTGCCTTGATGACAGCTTTGCACACTCATTCTCTTTGCACACTCACTCATTGGCATTCTCTCAACCAGCTTCATGAGGTAGTCACCTGGAATGCATTTCAATTAACAGGTGTGCCTTGTTAAAAGTTAATTTGTGGAATTTATTTCCTTCTTACTGCGTTTGAGCCAATCAGTTGTGTTGTGACAAGGTAGGGGTGGTATACAGAAGATAGCCCTATTTGGTAAAAGACCAAGTCCATATTATGGCAAGAACAGCTCAAATAAGCAAAGAGAAACAACAGTCCATCATTACTTTAAGAACTTTGAAAGTTTCTTCAAGTGCAGTCGCAAAGATCATCAAGCGCTATGATGAAACTGGCTCTCATGAGGACCTCCACAGGACAGGACGACCCAGAGTTACCTCTGCTGCAGAGGATAAGTTCATTAGAGTTACCAGCCTCAGAAATTGCAGCCCAAATAAATGCTTCACAGAGTTCAAGTAACAGACACATCTCAACATCAACTGTTCAGAGGAGACTGCGTGAATCAGGCCTTCATGGTTGAATTGCGGCAAAGAAACCACTACTAAAGGACACCAATAAGAAGAAGAGACTTGCTTCGGCCAAGAAACACGAGCAATGGACATTAGACCGGTGGAAATCTGTCCTTTGAGATTTTTGGTTCCAACCGCCCACATTTGTGAGACGCAGAGTAGGTGAACGGATGATCTCTGCATGTGTGGTTCCCACCGTGAAGCATGGAGGAGGAGGTATGATGGTGCTTTGCTGGTGACACTGTCTGTGATTTATTTAGAATTCAAGGCACACTTAACCAGCATGGCTACCACAGCATTCTGCAGCGATACGCCATCCCATCTGTTTTTTATTTTACCTTTATTTAACTAGGCAAGTCAGTTAAGAACAAATTCTTATTTACAATGACGGCCTACACCAGCCAAACCCGGACGACGCTGGGCCAATTGTGCGCAGCCCTATGGGATTCCCAATCATGGTCGGTTGTGATACAGCCTGGAATCGAACCAGGGGGTCTGTAGTGACGCCTCAAGCACTGAGATGCAGTGCCTTAGACCGCTGCGCCACTCGGGAGCAGTGGCACTTAGTGGGACTATCATTTGTTTTTCAACAGGACAATAACCCAACACACCTCCAGGCTGTGTAAGGGCTTTTGACCAAGAAGGAGAGTGCTGCATCAGAAGACCTCCACAATCACCCGACCTCAACCCAATTGAGATGGTTTGGGATGAGTTGGACCGCAGAGTGACAGGCAAAACGTCAATATCGAGACAAAGTGGAGTCGCAATTCAATGGCTCAGACACGAGACCTATGGTGTGTTACGAACATATTCAATCCCTCCCTATCCCAGTCTGCTGTCCCCACATGCTGCAAGATGGCCACCATTGTTCCTGTACCCAAGAATGCAAAGGTAACTGAACTAAATGACTATTGCCCCGTAGCACTCACTTCTGTCATCATGAAGTGCTTTGAGAGACTAGTCAAGGATCATATCACCTCCACCTTACCTGTCACCCTAGACCCACTTCAATTTGCTTACCGCCCCAATAGGTCCACAGACGATGCAATCGCCATCACACTGCAGTGGTCCTCTGTAGCTCAGCTGGTAGAGCATGGCGCTTGTAACGCCAAGGTAGTGGGTTCGATCCCCGGGACCACCCATACACAAAAATAAAAAATTTATGCACGCATGACTGTAAGTCGCTTTGGATAAAAGCGTCTGCTAAATGGCATATTATTACTGCACACTGCCCTATCCCATCTGGAAAAGAGGAATACCTATGTAAGAATGCTGTTCATTGACTATAGCTCAGCATTCAACACCATAGTACCCTCCAAGCACATCATTAAGCTTGAGGCCCTGGGATTCAACCCCGCCCTGTGCAATTGGGTCCTGGATTTCCTGACAGGCTGCCCCCAGGTGGTGAAGGTAGGAAACAACATCTCCACTTCACTGATCCTCAACACTGGGGCCCCACAAGGGTGTGTGCTCAGCACCCTCCTGTACTCCCTGTTCACCCATGACTGCGTAGCCATGCACGCCTCCAACTCAATCATCAAGTTTGCAGATGACACAACAGTAGTAGGCTTGATTACCAACAATGACGAGACAGCCTACAGGGAGGAGGTGCGGGCTCTGGGAGTGTGGTGCCAGGAAAATAACCTCTCACTCAACGTCAACAAAACAAAGGAGATGATCGTGGACTTCAGGAAACAGCAGAGGGAATACCCCCCTATCCACATCGACGGGACAGCAGTGGAGAAGGTGGAAAGTTTTAAGTTCCTCTGTGTACATATCACTGACAAACTGAAATGGTCCACCCACACAGACAGTGTGGTGAAGAAGGCGCAACAGCGTCTCTTCAACCTCAGGAGGCTGAAGAAATTTGGCCTGTCACCTAAAACCCTCACAAACTTTTACAGAAGCACAATTGAGAGCATCCTGTTGGGCTGTATCACTGCCTGGTACGGCAACTGCACTGCCCACAACCGCAGGGCTCTCCAGAGGGTGGTGCAGTCTGCACAACGCATCAACGGGGGCAAACTACCTGCCCTCCAGGACACCTACAGCACCCAATGTCACAGGAAGGTCAAAAAGATCATCAAGGACAACTACCACCCGAGCCACTGCCTGTTCACCCCGCTATCATCCAGAAGGCGAGGTCAGTACAGGTGCATCAAAGCTGGGACCGAGAGACTGAAAAACAGCTTCTATCTCAAGGCCATCAGACTGTTAAATAGCAATCACTAGCACAGAGGCGCTGCTGCCTACATACAGACTTGAAAATCACTGGTCACTATAATAAATGGAACACTAGTCACTTTAATAATGCCACTTTAATAATGTTTACATACCTTGCATTACCCATCTCATATGTATATACTGTATTCTATTCTATATATTGCATCTTAGCCTATGCCGCTCTGACAATGACATTGCTCATCCATATATTTATATATTCTTATTCCATTCCTTTACTTAGATTTGTGTGTATTAGGTTTTTGTTGTGGAATTGTTAGATATTACTTGCTAAATATTGCTGCACTGTCGGAACTAGAAGCACAAGCATTTCGCTACACTCGCAATAACATCTGCTAACCATGTGTATGTGACCAATACATTTGATTTGATTTCATTTTGATTTGAAGGAAAAGCAGCCAACAGGTGCTCAGCATATGTGGGAACTCCTTCAAGACTGTTGGAAAAGCATGGTTGAGAGAATGCCAAGAGTGTGTAAAGCTGTCATCCAGGCAAAGGGTGGCTACTTTGAAGAATCTTAAATATAAAATATATTTTGATTTGTTTAACACTTTTTTGGTTACTACATGATTCCATATGTGTTATTTCATAGTTTTGATGTCTTCACTATTATTCTACAATGTAGAACATTTTTTAAATAAAGAAAAACCCTTGAATGAGTAGGTGTGTCCAAACTTTTAACTGGTACTGTATGTTCCCCTGAGGGGTTGGAAGAGCATTAAACGCAGTTGGGGATCAACACAGACACTATCCAGATGAGTGTATGATGTTCTGTTGGGCCAACAACAACGTGTGTGTGTGTTTGTGTTGGTGACTGTATATCACCAGGGCACTGACAGGTTGTTCAATCCAAATGCAAACCCAGCTGCCTGGTTATAATTGTTTATAATGAAAGGAGGTGTCAAGGGTGCTCTATTCATACGATAGATAGGAAATACATCCAAAACATCTGAGTGGATTGTCATCTTTATGTCAATTGTGCTGAAAGCATTGTATCATTCAAAATGTTAATATAACATAATGATATCTAAGGCACAATATTACTATTATTATGATTTAATGTTCTCTCTCTCTATTTTTCTACCTCTGCAACATCATAGCATGGGATGGGAGTCTTTTGGTACAGTGTGGAGTGGGGTACAGTGCTGATCTCATTAAAGGAGGAAGGGGGTCAGAGCAAACAAGGCTTCTGTGTGTGTGTGTATGAGTGTGTTTGAATATGTGTGTGCGTGCGTGCGTGCGTCTGTGTGTTTGTTTGTGTGTGCGAGTGAGTGTGTGCATGTGTGTCAGAATTGGGGGATTCTCTCTGGCCCTTAACCAGAGCCAATGTGCAGCTGGGAACCACAATGCCCCTCTGTGCTGCCCACTCTGAGAGTGGACCAACCGCCCAGTTCCCCATCACAATCAAATTCATCTCTCTCTCTCGCTCTCTCTCTCTCTTTCTCTCTCTCTCTCTCTCTCTTCTCTCTCTCTCTCTCTCACACACACACACACACAATCTCTTTCTATCTCTTCTTGCACTATTTTTTCTGTCTTCCCCTCCTTCTCTCATTCTGTCCCTTTCTCTTCTCCATACTTTAGAAGGGAGAAAAAGACAGGCAGATCAAATCAATGCTCTCCTTCATTAGCGTTCTGGGAGGTTTCCAGGTTATGTTTTTAGACTGGTGCTATATGGTGATCGGGCCCCTTTACAGTATACAACAGTCTTTATTAACAGCCTGTTAACTTACCACATTTACTAGATTCCCCCCTTCCTCATGCTGTTCAGCCTCTTTCCATACACTGCTTTGTCTGCCTTTGCCTTCCAATAAAAGATCATGCTTTGATATGTAAAGGTGAAACACATGGATTTTAGCACTCCGTGGTTGAAGTTTCCCCTAGATACAGATCTAGGATCGGCTTCCCATCCCCAACCCCTAACCTTAACCATTATTGGGAAAATAAAAAACTGAACCAAGATCAGTGTCTAGGGTCACCGTACTAGCAGTTTTAGCATTGGTGAGCGAGGCCCCAGCTGGAGAGCTAGAGGATGTGAATGGCATACAGAAGGTCTTGCATGACTGGTACATTATAGTCAAGTCCCAGCCTTCAAACTACTAACGTCTATCAGCCTCCCTCCTACCCACACCCTGCACTTGAGATACCCTCTATTCTCTGTGGCCCATTGTACACACATACCAAATTAAAAAGAGACATTCACCCATCAAAAGGGTCTCTTTCCCTACTTTCATGTTTTTGTGGGTGAGTGTGTGTGTGATAGAGAATATTTTGTATGTCTGAGGGTGGGTTAGTTGGTGTGTGTTTGTGTGTGTGTACGTGCATATGTGTGTGTCTGCATGGATGCATATGTGTGTTAGCTGAAGCAGCACCCTGTTCCCCCTCTGATCCTGCCTGTCAACACTATCACAGCTGTTCTTCCACCCGCCGTTTAACAATGACTTCCCTGTAGATTTTTTCATCAGTGTTTTGCATGTTTGCAGTAAGCACAGAAGGGGGGAGTGTGTAAAGCATCGGCCATGTCTGCGTCTCAAATGGCACCACATTCCCTATGTAGTGCACTACTTTTGACTAGGGCCCATAGCCAAGGCCATCCTGTAAATTACCTTGGAGAGATATTGTATTTTCTACTTTAATCAGCTAAGAAGTGTTTACAAAGGAGAGCATACTCTATGAAAGTATTGAGTACATACCATCTAGCTTAGCCATTTAAATCATGATAGGATCTAGTATTGCAGTATCAGCTAACAGACTCATCCAACTGGTGCATTTTCTGTAACTATCATCTAGTTGTTATCCTTCCTGTTGCAGCCTCTAGAAACTGAAAATAATAATCTTCTTCCCTTCTGTCTATCTATAAAATGCTCTTTAGCAGTGAAAGAGCAGAACCCTGCATGACAGTTGTTTAGTGGTTACAGTATAATCCACATGGTGGGCATCCACACACGCTCCTGCTAGTGCCATTCTGAGCAGGCACAGGACCAACAACACTTCCTGAAACTCCCTGAGTCAGCCAATCGGCTCTCTGATCCGGGCATGCCTGGCAGACACATGGAGACGGTTTCTATGTGTATCTCCAGGATGCTGCTGTTACTGCTGCCAAGCCATTATCGGCTGCTGAGAGAGGGATGGAGAGAAGGAGATAGAGGAGAGAGAGGGGATCCACCCTCTCTCTCGCTCTGTCTCCATATCTCAACAACCCTTACTTTTCCTCCCTATATGTCACATCACACCATACTGCAACACGGCTGTTGCTATGCAGGAGTGCACAGAAGCTCAGCCCACTCATCCTATATATGTGAAGCTAAGAGGGGAAGGATATGGTATCTTTCACACCCCACCCCATCACAGATCACAGGCAATGTGGGAGAGACTGTGCCTTTGACTAGAAATGAAATACCTCAGTCAGTTTCCCCAGCAAACAATGACTATACTGTAGCATCATAACATCCAAGCTGGGAGAGATGTTGTTTATGGAATGAATATACATTAGGCTAGCTGCCCTGAAGAAAACCGACGGACCCATACAGTGTAATGAGAGACTAATTCTATATCCTACTGACATCTAGTATATCCCTTAGCACATATCCAGTGACATGGAAGACCTCACTGTTTTCCATTTCCTATGTTTCATAGCTCTGGAATTAGGACAGTGGGTCAGAAAGGACAGGAAGTGACCAGGAGAATCCCACGACCATCTCCAGATATCACACACACACACTTGTATGCGCACGCAAAAATGCATGCAGTGCACACACACGCACCCCTCCCCCTGCGAGCGCTGCAGGGCAGGATGCAACAGGAAGTGGGAACAGCTTACTGTGTATGTCACAAGTGAACAAGGACAAGGAGAGAGAGCAATAATTATGTTAAGCCAATTTAAAGTGTATCCCTACTAGTACAGCCCTATCAGCTTACAGTATGTTATTTTATGTGATCATGTTAGTTGAGTACTGTGTGACTAATAAAGACTGACCATAGCCACAAAGTAGTTATTTTCATCTAAGGAACCTACCCCAATGTGTTGAAACTACCTGTATTTACTGAATGTAACATACATAATACGAACTAACTGTTCAATAACTCATTGCTGAGCCACAAACAGAAAGTAGTGTGTTCTTGCTGACAAGTTAAAGAGGGTATACAATGGCTAGTACAGGACAGATCTCAAATATCACCTGGAATACTGCCCAAATCCTCTCAAACATGTCAAGACACATTTCCTTCCTCCAGTGCTTGGTTTGTGCTTGAATAACCCCTACTTTCTAAGAGCACAGCCAGCCTCACGGAGTCTGGAGTGCATGGGAGTGTTTAAACCCAGTGTGAGGGAACAGGGCTGCGAAATTTGACCTGGTTTAGTTGGTAGCCAGGAGAAACAATCAGGTATGTGTTGAGAGACTGGGCCTAGCTGTTTAAGAATACAGAGAGGGAGACGGAGAGGGGAGGCCGAGGAAGCCGGGCTCACAACCCTGTGGTTTGTTTTTGGTTTCCTGTGTTAATGGCCTTCTTTGACTGGCTTCCCCCGGCCCGTAGACCCTGCGCCCTCCCGCTGCGCCCCGATTGGCTGCTGAGGACTCAACTCGGGAGCGAGACCGAATCCTTATTCCCCTGACTCAGCACAGAGGCACAATCTTAGCTTGCCAGAAAGAAGGGATGATTTTTTTCACCTGTTTCTTTCTTTCTCTTTTTTTAAAGATATACAACTGGACCGTTTTTAGTGAGGGACAGTGGCAACAGGGCCTGCCTTCAGGGGATGACATCATTACCCTCCTCTCTCCCCTCCCCTCTCTTCCCTCCTTCCTGGACTCCTGAGAAAGACCACATTGTGCTTCTGTCACATGGAAATGGATCACAGACGGCTGTGAATTTGGGATGTGTAACCATAGCCTCAGTTCAATAGGAAGACCAACAACCCACACTGTCTCCATTAACAACAAATCCCATCAATGGTGTGTGAACGTATGCATTTAAAGCCAAATGTAACCTTTGTCCTATGACCTGTTATGTCATACCCCCCTTCTTTGAAGTTTCCAAAAGCCTGCAAGGACCTAAATGCTAGCAATTACCCAAAGTTCAGTCTCTCTTCAAGTTTCTGTTTGTGTTGCTGACATATATGATTTATGCATAGCCTTACACACACACACACACACACACACACACGCACATCCACGCACACACACACACATCATCTTGGCTGCCCATCGAAGTCAATGAAGGCATACACACACACACACACGCTCTCCATTCCAGATTCACCTTGACGTCCTGCTCCAGGGTACGGATGAGCTCCCCGTCCACCTGTCCCGTCTGGGCCACGCGGAGGCTGCGTCTCTCGGCCTTGCGGAGGCGATACTGCAGGATGCGGCAGGTCTTGTTGGCCTGCTCAAACTGCTGCCTCAGCTCCTGCAGCTGGTACACATCCTCCTCCATGTACATGTCCCTCATCTCCAACATCTCCGAGCGCTGCTCCTCCATCTCATCCTGGGGAGAGAGGATGGGGGAAGGGTGGAGGAGAGGAGGGGTGAGAATGGTTGAAAATGGTTGCCTACCATATACGGGGTCTTGATGAGCTAGTGCAATCATTATACTCATTATAATTATTATTATAGAGTATATGTCAGCATCAGATCATCAGAGTCATCATCAACACCCTCTTCATTAGTATGTCCTTAGCAGGATGTATACGCCTAAAATCCAGTGTTTCGGTGTCAAACAGTTTTGTTATATTTCAGTCTACTGTGATGTATATAAAGTGTAATATTGGGATGCAAACTCAAAATTGAATACATTTCAACTCTATATCTGACATGGAACAGGGGTCTTCTTTTTTTAAGCCCATAACCATGTGAATGAGGTGTATACTTTAGTTTTAAAGTAGATAAGACTACCAAGAAACACTGTGTGTGACCCTGATTTTGCCCACTGCAGTAAGAATGTAGCATTAACAACCCCATCGCCTACATTACCAGTTCAGGGGCAAACCAGTGCAGAACACAGATTAATACAGAACTGAACTTTGCCCAGCTGATATAAAGGTGTATAATAACAATGCCAAGGTATGATTTAAATCAAACCCAAAAAGCCTTAGGGGGGTTGCCCTAGCATTCCCTACTACTACTTACATAACAACACGGTTGAAGAGGCATTAACCCAAATCCTACAACCCCCCTGTCAGAGGCATAGTAATAAGGCAGATAAAGTATTTATAAGGGTGGTGGTGGGAGAAGTGTGTAGTAGTAGTAGTAGTAGTAAATAGAAGCCTTTTATCGCATTGCTAATATGCGGAGAGGGCTGCCAGGGGAATGTGGGTCACCCACTGCAGAGCAGCGTCACGTGGTGCGGCCCCGGTATAAACAATAGTGTGTGGATTGAGGACAGTTGGCGCTCTCGACTGTAGCATCTGTACGACGCAGGCTACCCCGAGAAAACAGCTGCACTAGTCAGACAGGCGTGCCGAAGACAGGAGAGAAAGCACGGGATTAATAAATAAAGATGTCGCGCTCTGGTACTACTATGGCTGCACGCATGACCTAATTTCTACGCATAATTAGACTTAAGAAAAATAATGTGACACCCCATTGCTGTTTATGGTAATTAACCAGTAAGATGGATTTGATGATTATGGTCTGAAATTAACCAAAAACCTTACATGATCATTATTGTTGTGGAAATGTGCATTACACATTCATGCACAGTGGACTGTCCTAGTAAACTGCCTTCTTTAGATGGGCCATCTTAGATGACCACCGCATAGCCTAGTAGTCTATAAGGCATATGTACACCATAATAATCGTAATATTGCTTTCCCAGACCAGTTAAATATTAAATCAAATGTGCTAATGGTAACCTAGACGTTGTTTGGATAAACCGTTGTGGTGCGTCTTAGTGCACAGGCCTGTAGGATAATCCAATTAATTATTGAACCTCTCCCACTGAGCCAGTCTCCGTGACGCATGTCAATGATAATATTGGATGACAAAATACAATTAGTTAAGGTGGTCACTGTAATCCTCCAGTGCGTAACGGATTGGCACCCTACAACCACCTGCATGTCCGACCACCTCTGATGTCTTGGGCATTCACCACCTGACCATCTTGAGCAGTGAACACAACAGCTGAGGCAACATTGAGTTTGAATTCAGAAATAACACTGACCACCCCTGAAGTCTCTGTGCCTTCAAATTGTGGTATTTTGTTGTTGTTTTTTGAAAAGAGGGAGGGGGGAGTAATCAATTATGCACTCAAGATGTTGTTGGCTGGCTATGTGGCCAATTTGGGTTTGCATGGATTTCCCTGCTTTTATCCTGAAGTGCAGAACAGTGATTATGCATAAATATATTAGGTTTGTTTCTGATGAACCAATGAAAATAGTAACTCCGGCTTCATCTCTTACAGAACTGTTATTGGAGAGCTTTTAAAAAAAACATTTTTTAAACCTTTTTACTTTCACAAATAAGAGCAAACGGAGGGAGGAATGTCTGTAGCAAATCTGGAAAAAATATGCTTACTTTTAGGTAATCGTTTTCTGATCTCAGTTCCTCGATTTCCCTAACAAATTCTTCATGCATGCCGTCCATGAACTCTTCTGTCAGGTCGGAGAAAGCCAGGGATGTGCTGGTAGGCACCCGGCTGTCGAACGATGTGAGAGACCGTTCATCCCCCGGAGAAATGCTCCCCTCCCCGGTCTCCACTCCCAGGGAGAGTCGGTCCTTATCTACGGGGGTCTTGGCATGATGGTCACCACGAGTACCCCTATCCGGTGGCCCATCTCCGCAGTCCGTACTCGATTTCTCGCCCTCAGGCCCCCCGCCTCGGCTGCTGGATTCGGTGTCACTACTCAGAGCGTCGGTGGAGACTTTATTCTCCTCCGAGGCGCAATCGGAGATCTCGGAACTGCTATCCGTTGGCGACAGCTTGCCCGCGGCGCAACCAGAGTCTTTGCTCAGGTCGTCCGAGGCGTTTCTTGCATCGGACACCTTCTTCCGACCACCTTTCATCGATTTACTGCCGCCCTTCTGAGCACTGGCAACCGATAGTGTGGATTTCCCCGGCAGTTTTCCTTTCTCTGATTTGGTCTCTTTCCCGCTACCCGGACTACGCCTGGACACCCGGCTGCCTAAATGTATGGATCCTGGTTTAACGCTCAGTGTTGGTGTACCGATGCCTCCCCGGATCTTGGTGAGGGACCATCCAGGCACATCCTTGGGTCTGGCGGGTGACGGAGCCCGGTTGATCTTTTTCTTCTCGTTCACTTGGATGGACTGCACTACGGGCTGTTGCTCGAACTGGTGCTGTTGATGGGGCTGCGCCTGCCCGCTGTCCGCGCTCTCCGTCCCGCTTTCCATTTTGTGCCTGTGTCTCCTTTCCTTGGGCGAGACAAAGTGAGTTGGCGAATTAACATCAGCCTTTGTCTTTGTCATTCATTCCGCTTTGACAACTACAGAAAACAGAAACGAAACCCCTATCAGAAGAGGCAGAAGTTGAATTTTGTCTCACAACTGCAAACAAATACGCTGCAGCAATCCCAAATAAGCCGGATGCAACAGCGCAGAAAGATAGGAACTGCAAGTTGTAACACGTTGTAATGATGTTTTTCCGGTTTTAGGATGACTCTCGTTTAGGTTTTTGCCCCTCTTCTACTTCTCTTGCATTAAGCGACTCTCTCTCGCCGGCGCGGTTTGAAGTGGTAGGAACAGTGGCAGTGTGCTAGCGAGGTTATTTTCTCCGCCCAGCTAGCGGTTCTGTCTGTGACGAATCGCAGTTTCGAAACTCAGCATCACTTGGAGCTCTCTGCTGCCACCCAGACATGTAGATCGTTTGAAGAAGCACAAATGAGACTACAATAAAAATAGGATGCATGTAGGTTTACTACAAACATAGGCTATAGGCTGCCTATTTAATTCAGAATCAAACTATATTTGGACAGTAAACTATACAGTGTCTGATACGCAGTGCTTAATTTGTAAAATCGGTAAGTGCCGAAACAAAATGTGAGCGCGAGAGGGGGGTTGACCTCGAGAGTTCTGAGGTACCGGAACCATGAGAAGAAAGAAAACACCTTGATAATAATGCATTGCATGCATTTCATCGCATTTGAGTAGTGACATAGAGCAGTAGAGTAGAGGCACTTACTTACTTACAGAAGTTGCACACATGGGAAACAATTGGCCTTTTATATACGCATTTCATGCAACTGTATGTCATTTTACATGACTGGAGACTTTGGCAGAATCTTTTCTAATATGCACGAATGATCGAAATGACAGGATACTTTGACACGGACAAACTGAGAATCTGAGATCAATAAAAACGACCTTGTCTTGAATCCATCAATAGCCTAGGCCTAGATGTGTGGAGAGACACATATTGTAGGCTACAATATGAAGAGGAAATTATGTTTTCCAGTTTCACTGACTCACCCAATGATGTGCAGCTCACTCGCTGGTGATAGCAGATGCGCTCTAAAACAATTTTTGGAAGTTGATCAAGTATTTTGGTAGTCTACAGCATACAGATTAGAGTCTTCTCTTTTCAGCAGGAGCCATTTGCTTTCCAACCTGTGTTTTCCCTCAATTGTGTTTTAAATATTGCGAAAGGCCTGTTTTGTCTGCATGTTGTGTGTTCACTGATACATTTGCCACGCGTTCCCCACTGTAGGTTATACCTTGTTATTGGGCTACAATCCACTGTTTGACGATAAAAAATAAATAAGCTATTGATCCTCTGTGGCTAAATTATAAGCCTTCTCCTGCCGACTCACCCCACAGATTGAGAACCACTGCTAGAATCATAGCCAAGCTCAAAGGGTTCTGAAGGAATTGCAGCACCCCATATAAATTGAAATATACATTTACATTTTAGTCATTTAGCAGACGCTCTTATCCAGAGCGACTTACAGTTAGTGAGTGCATACATTATTTATTTTTTATACTGGCTCCCCATGGGAATCGAACTCACAACCCAGGCGTTGCAAACGCCATGCTCTACCAACTGAGCTACATCCCTGCCGGCCATTACCCTCCCCTACCCTGGACGACGCTGGGCCAATTGTGCGCCACCCCATAGGTCTCCCGGTCACCGCCGGCTATGAACCAGGATATCTAGTGGCACAGCTAGCACTGCGATGCAGTGCCTTAGACCACTACGCCACTGGCACTGCGCCACTCGGGAGATATATGTGCCAAAGTTATACAATTACTGTTGTCTGTTCAGAAAGAAATGAAATAATTCAGAATAGCCTTCTACGGTGGTTCCCAAACTTAGGAAGGGGTCGGCAGGAGGGGTGTGTGCCCCCTTCTCACACAGCCACTGCCACGCATTGGTCTCAAACATAGGTTACAATGTTGCGCAAACCATAAGCCCAGGCCGGCCCAACCCGAATCAACGCTTAGAATATTATGATATAGAACATGTTTACTCGTTGCTATGTTATCATCACTATTTATTAACATAGTTTCCTCTCAGTAGACATAATTTGGCTCCATGTGCCTTTCACCCAACCTGCAGGCAAATGACATCAGCATTATTTTCACTGAGAGACACAGTTCTGTGGCCCTTCTCCGGTTTGACAGTGTGACAGTGTGACAGTGTGACAGTTTGACAGTGTGACATTGTGACAGTGTGACAGTTTGACAGTGTGACAGTGTGACAGTGTGACAGTTTGACAGTGTGACAGTGTGACAGTGTAACAGTTTGACAGTGTGACAGTGTGACAGTGGTGTATTCAGTTCACATATCCATCATTGTAAGCACATACAGAGGATTGAGTACACAGGGGCCCCCACAACACGTGCTGCCCTGCTTCCATATCACTTGAGTACAGTCGTGGTCAAAAGTTTTGAGAATGACACAAATACTAATTTTCACAAAGTCTGCTGCCTCAGTTTTGATGATGTCAATTTGCTTATACTCCAGAATGTCATGAAGAGTGATCAGATGAATTGCAATTAATTGCAAAGTCCCTCTTTGCCATGAAAATGAACTTAATCCCCAAAAAACATTTCCACTGCATTTCAGCCCTGCCACAAAAGGACCATGTCAGTGATTCTCTCATTAACACAGGTGAGAGTGTTGACGAGGACAAGGCTGGAGATCACTCTGTCATGCTGATTGAGTTAGAATAACAGACTGGAAGCTTTAAAAGGTGGGTGGTGCTTGAAATCATTGTTCTTCCTCTGTTAACCATGGTTACCTGCAAGGAAACATGTGCCGCTATCATTGCTTTGCACAAAAAGTGCTTCACAGGCAAGGACATTGCTGCTAGTAAGATTGCACCTAAATCAACCATTTATCGGATCATCAAGAACTTCAAGAAGAGAGGTTCAATCATTGTGAAGAAGGTGTCAGGGCGCCCAGGAAAGTCCAGCAAGTGCCAGGACCGTCTCCTAAAGTTGATTCAGCTGCGGGATCTGGGCACCACCAGTGCAGAGCTTGCTCAGGAATGGCAGCAGGCAGGTGTGAGTGCATCTGCACGCACAGTGAGGCGAAGACTTTTGGAGGATTGCCTGGTGTCAAGAAGGGCAGCAAAGAAGCAACTTCTCTCCATGAAAAACATCAGGGACAGACTGATATTCTGCAAAAGGTACAGGGATTGGACTGCTGAGGACTGGGGTAAAGAACAGTTTGGTGACGAACAATGCCTTTTCCAGCATGATGGAGCACCTTGCCATAAGGCAACAGTGATAACTAAGTACGCTCGGGGAACAAAACATCAACCTTTTGGGTCCATGGCCAGGAAACTCCCCAGACCTTAATCCCATTGAGAACTTGTAGTCGATCCTCAAGAGGCGGGTGGACAAACAAAAACCCACAAATTCTGACAAACTCCAAGCATTGATTATGCAAGAATGGGTTGCCATCAGTCAGGATGTGGCCCAGAAGTTAATTGACAGCATGCCAGGGCGGATTGCAGAGGTCTTGAAAAAGAAGGTTCAACACTGCAAATATTGACTCTTTGCATAAACTTAATGTAATTGTCAATAAAAGCCTTTGACACTTATGGAATGCTTGTGTCACACCCTGGCTAATGGACTCTATTTGTTGAGCCAGAGTGTGTTTGTTCTATGTGGTTATGTCTATGTTGGGGGTTCTAGTTAGTCTGTTTCTATGTTTGACTGAGTGACTCCCAATCAGAGGCAACGAGTGTCAGCTGTGTGCTGGTTGTCTCTGATTGGGAGCCATATTTAACTGTCTGTGTTTCACTTTGTGTTTGTGGGTTTTTGTTCCGTGTTCGGTCAGTGTCACCGTGGACTTCACGAGTCGTGTATTTGTTTTGTTTAGTGTGCTTTTTATCGCTGTCAATAATAAAGATCACCATGTTCGTGCAACACGCTGCGTATTGGTCTACTTCGCTTCAAGACGATCGTGACAGAAAAACCCACCAAAACTGGACCAAGCAGCGTGTCCAGGAGCCATCGCCAGGGGAATCGCTTGCAGATCTCCGTGGCAACCTCGACTGGGTCCAGCCTTGTAAAGAGCAGAGTGGATGGACTTGGGAACAGTGGAGGAAGAGTCTCGACTGGGTCAAGCCTAAGGAGGAGCAGAATGGCTGGAGTTGGAAGCAGGAGAGCGAGAGTTGGGCGAGAAATATAGAGGCCTGGCCCACGGGGAAGAGAGACCCCCAGAAATTTTTTAGGGGGGGGCTCACGACGTGGACGACGGGGCAGTAGGAGGCCGCGATGGAGCGGTCCAGCGGGTGTGCAGAGGAGGCCGCCAGGTTAAGTGGGCCACTGGTCACAGAGGAGAGGGAAAGTGTGGAGGCACGGCGAGAGGTACTGGGGTGTGTTACCAGTCCGGTCCGGCCCGTTCCTGATCCCTGCGTAGGGCCAGTGGTGTGTGTCCCCAGTACGGTCCTGCCTGTTCCTGTTCCTCGCATCGAGCCTGTGGTGCGTGTCGTCAGCCCGGCCCGGCCTGTTCCTGCTTCCCGCACCGAGCCTATGGTGCGCGTCGCCAGCCCGGCCCGGCCTGTTCCTGCTCCCTGCACCAAACCTACGGGGTGCGTCGCCAGCCCAGCCCGGCCTGTTCCTGCTCCACGCACCAAGCCTACGGTGTGCGTCGCCCGGCCTGCTCCTGCTCCACGCACCAAACCTACGGTGTGCGTCGTCAGCCCGGCCCGGCCTGTTCCTGCCACTCGCACCAAACCTACGGTGTGCGTCGCCAGCCCGGCCTGGCCTGTTCCTGCCACTCGCACCAAACCTACGGTGCGCGTCGCCAGCCCGGCCCGGCCTGTTCCTGCCACTCGCACCAAACAGACGGTGCGCGTCGCCAGCCCGGCCCGACCTGTTCCTGCCACTCGCACCAAGCCAGGGGTGCGAGTCGCCAGCCCGGCCCGGCCTGTTCCTGCCACTCGCACCAAGCCAGGGGTGCGAGTCGTCAGCCTGGTCCAGCCTGTTCCTGCCACTCGCACCAAGCCAGGGGTGCG